CAGAATTATATATCGCATGTTTTTATATATAAAAATTCAGAGTTCAAACCATTTATTTGGATAAACACAGTGTAAAGAAGAAGAAACAAATGAAACATGTACTACAGAATTCTGTCCACCCCCTCCCCTCCTCCTTTCATTAAATCTTCCCTAAAAATGTTAATTCAATACATACTAACACTAATGATTTACATGTGTATAAATAAAAGTGAATAATTTTTTATTTATTTATTTATTTATTTATTTATTTATTTATTGTACATATACCGATAAACACGCACATATATATATATATATAATTGTGTTTACGATTTACGCTTTTAGATCTACTTGACTCTCAGTACAGCTCGGACATCCATTAGGAACGATAAAAGAGCCTCTCTAAATTTTGGTGCATTCCGACTAGGAGGCAAAGAATACGCCAATTGAGTAGGGGTTGCCTGGTCAAGGGTTTGGAAAGCAAAGAGTAATCTAGACTGAATATCTGCTGGTTGCTGTACAATGATCTGATTCACAATGGCCATGTAATCATCCTACACCATATCATACAAATGTTATTTAATTTGAGTTTCTTTTTTTTTTTTTTTTTTTTTTGGGGGGGGGGGGATTTGATTTGATTTGATTTAATATACACTTACCCTTTGGGAACAAATCAGAGCCAACAAGGCTTCGGTGGCCGCATCTACCACCTGTCCATCCAGGTGTTCAAACAAGAGGACCTTGACCAGTTGTGCAAGGAATTTACTGAGCGCCTGCTTTAATAAGTCGAAATTGGCTGATGCTACACGTACACACATAAAAATCTTACAATTAGAATTGTAATTATATATATATATATATATATATAAAAGTGAACAGACCATGGTTGGATTGTTGTTGCACATGTGCCCACAGGGCAAGGGGTGCAACAGCATGCAGGGCAAGAATATTGATGTCTGCAATGTCATGTCCAATACCAAATTCCAGACTGGCCATAAGGTTATTAAACAAGTCCACAGGAAGACCGGTCAACTTTTCCGGAAAGACTTCGATAAGGTGCGATATCAATTTTATGTATTCTTGACAGAGATTAGGAATCTACAAAGATTCAATGCATTACATTACATTACATTACATTACATTATTAAAGAAAAAAAAAAGGTCAATATCCATATTAATCACAATAACAATATATCTCTTTTACCTTTAGCATCTCCATATCTACCATGGGAATAATCACATTGACACCAAAAAGAACAACGTTGGCTACATCAGAGTTTGAGTTTGACAAAAGTTGATTTTTGTTTTGGTCTATAATAAATTTATTGTTCATTTGTTAGTTGGTCTATAATCCCTAAGTTTTTCTTTGTTTGTTTACTTACTAAAGTCTTCGAATTCTGATGCCATTATGTTGGACAGAAGGATCAGTGCAGCAGATACATCTGCATAGGGCTTGTCTTCCTCCTCCTCTTGGCTGTGCATCTTTTTCTTGCCCTGATTGACAGCCCCAAAGATCCGCAAGATTTCAATGACGACACGGAAAAACATTTGCTTCTGGTCTTGCCCAAGAACACCAAAATCCTATTTTTAGCCACAGCAGAAACACAAGCACAAACCCAACATCGAGTTAGTAAATACATGAATAACAAAGAGTCCATTGCACATCTATTTCTAAAAGAAGCCTAGCATTTGTACGCTTTTTTTTCTTTTCTTATTTTCTACTCACCAGGCGCCCGGCGAGATCTACAAAGAGCTGGAGAATCAGGAGTTGGACCTGAGACACATCTTTGTAGAGCGACATGAGTTGAACAATACTTTCAAAGAATCCAGAACAAAAGCCAAAGATGATTGGAGTGTTATTGAATTGACAGGCAAGAGCCAGACCATCCAACATCTAATTTTTTTTTTACAAACATATACATGGATAAATTAGTGTATAATACACCTTTAAGAATTCTTTTTTTTTATGCGTGTGTTGTACCTCTAGTGAGTCCAATACTTGGTTCATAAATTCTGTGTGTTGAAAATTCTGTTGAAAATTTGGGTGTCTCAATACATCGCCTAGACGTTTCTGCCAATGAAAATTAAAATTAAAATTAAAATAAATAAATAAATAAATAAATAAATAAATCATCATCCAAGTTTCGACTTTCTTTGCCTTTTGTTTTAAATTTTTTTTTTCAAGTGTCTTGAACTTATTCTTACCTCAATCATCTTGAATATCAAACCAAAGTAATTGTCGCGTGTGTTGGCATCAGTTGAGCTACTCGAAATTGAGGCCACAGTCTGGATTAAGCAACTAAGACAAGAATGGTAACGTCACGAATAGTATTTTTTTTAGAACCAAGACAAGACAAGAAGTATAAAAAAAAGTTTATATTCACAGACTATGCAATATATTTTTGTGTGTGTGTGTGTGTCTTACTTGTGTACGACCTCTGGTAACTGTTCCATATTTGCTGTGACAAACTGAACCAAGTCTGGGAACTTGTCTAAATTGTAAACAAGGTTCAAACCCCCGCTTATTTATTCTTTAATTGCCTAAAGTACCAAAAAAAAAAAACTTACTTGACTGTAACAAATAGCTCTTTGTGTTTACGCAAGTTCCACATGAGTTAAGCCAAGAGATAAGCTAAGCATTGAACAATTCATTAGCCACCAATATTTCAATGTATATAGAGAGAGGTAAAGAAAAGAAAAGAAAAGAAAAGAAAAATTAATAGTGTAATTTTTTTTGAGCTATATTGTGTTGTGTGGATTTACCTGCAACAAGACATCTGGATCCGCACTCCACAATGCAAAATTGGTCTTCATTTGTTCAATGGAGAAATCGATAATATGTACACCTTGTCCATCAGATGGTCCAGGTCTTCCGAATGCTTTTGCAATATTAGGGCTAGAACGTAATTAGCATTACATTTGGATATAAAAACAACAACAAAAATGATAATAAAAATGTCAATTCTATCCTATCGGATATTGACCATCATGGAAAGCTTCCCTTGGGGACCATACCTTATGTAACCATATTCGTTCTCATCTACCAAAAGATAGGATTTTGACCAACGTTCCATAAACCAAACCAATGTTGCAGCCACACGCGGGCTACAATTAGAAGCCTATGTATATATATATATATGTGTGTGTGTGTGTATGGCACATTAACCAATCTAACCAAATCTTTCCCTTTCTTTCCTAAACACAAACACCTTATCTTTTTCTCTCTCTTTCGTTCTCTCCCTACCTCCCACCACCACCATTTATTTTCTTTACCTCCATTGAATTGGGTCCAAAACTAGATGAGAATCTGAACAATTCCAATACTTGTCTAGAGACATTTACAACAGGGTCTTGCTCAATAGCCTAATCATTTTACTTCATAAGTACACAAACACACAATATACAAAGTTAAGGGTACACCAACTGATCTGGTGAGAATACATATAATATACTATAATCTATTTATTTATTTATTTATTTATTTTACCTGAGACCCAGACAATTGCATAATGGAATCTGGGATCATGGGTTGTTCGCCCTTTCCGGTATCGGCCAAAATATGACCAGTAATCAGGATAATCCAGTGCAATTGCTCGTGAAGAAGAAGTAATTTACCATCTACAGACACAAATACAAAAAAATATATAGTTAAGATACAAAGAGAGATTGGTCGGTTTACATGTGTATAAATCATCATAATATAATATTTTACCAGAATTGATTGTGTTTGACACAAAGTATGCCTTTAGGCGGTCAAAACAGCTTCCCAGCAATAGTTGCAGGCGTAAAATACACTGATGAGGATGAAGTCTTCCCAGAGTACCAATACATGTAAGCTGGTCTGCGTACACATCCTATAATAGAGTTTAGAGTCAAGAAAAATAGAAAATAAATTCCCAATATATCTCTCTATTTCTTACCCAGTCTTTAAATCCACTGTCAATCTCATCTTCCTCTTCTTCATCGTTCATAGCAAGAATCGAACTCTCCAGACGAGCATCGATGTATGTCTCGACCACCTGATAAGCAACCGTCTTCATGTAGTTTGACAAATGCTCACTGTCCATCTCAGACATACCCGAGATCACGGCTCTTCCAGACTGTTGTTGTTGTTGTTGACCATATGCAGGCTGAACTTCATCAGCCAATCTGACCCATGTCTCGAGACACTCGTCACTGGCCTCACTCAACCAACCCTCTTCGGCATCAGTAACCGAACCTCTGAGGCACACAACCGTCAATCGTCCGATGGCATTTAAGAATTGAAAAAAGTCAGGAACTAGACAAAGAATAGATACAGGAATGTTTTCTAGTAATCTTCTGGTCATCTGAATAGTTCCCAAGATGTGAGGTCCTTGCTCGGATAAAACGTCTGGATTTGTACCAAGTTCAAGAATACTTGTAACAAAAAAAAAGTCAATACGTTGAGAAAATATAACTATTTTTTTTTTTAAAAAAAACACATCTCTTTCTTATAAACATGTTTTGCCTTACTCGTTCATTAACTTCAAGGTACCATTCATCAATGTGGTAGTATACGATTTTACAGCAGTTGAGTCATGACCAAAGAAATATTCTTGGAAACCCGAAAGCTGGACAAGACATTGTCTGCACCGATGAGCCAACACATCATCTGTCTGAACCAGATTATATGTCTAAAACAATTAAATGGTTATTAACAGCAACAACATTACTAAAGAAGTAAAGCAAGAACAATAAAATAAAATAAAGGTACTCGTCACTTACTCTAAAGAACAGCCAAAGAACTTCACTGTTGCCAACCACTGGTTGCCAGCTTGTAGGAAAGATGGTAAACACTTTCTTAACTGTCGAAGGACCATCTTCCCGGTCAAAATCGTCTGCATCATTTCCTGTCTTTCCAAACGATCCCGGAAGCGCATTGCTAGCACTGGTTGACTCAAACTCCCAATGGAGAATCTTTTCCAAGAGTTCAAGGCACTGAACGAGTAAAAGAGGCGGAGGTGAAGACAAGTGGTTTGTCTGTGATACGACTTGATGTAACTTTGTTACAGTTTGTTCCAACATTGGAAGCAAAAACCGAGTCTAATTGTTTGTAAAAATAAAATAAAATAAGATTAGCTTAATATATCTACCTTTTATGTATATATAACACTACAAAGAAATCTCTTCCTCCAAGATATTGAGTACATCTATATGTATATATTTACCTCAAAGAACACCTTGCATTTGTAGTGAAACTCCCAAGGAAGGCCGACTGTTGCTGATTTTGTGTTGGAGAATTGATCTACCAATGCATTGGCCAAAGAAACCCCAAGAACCTGTCAAGAAATTGCCAAAAAGAAAGAAAAAAATGACATATTTATCACAATGTATGTGCATTTGATTTTGATTCTAGTTGAGTCTTCTTGCTTTCTTTTCTCATTTCTTTCTATATATATTCCATTTGGAATGCACATCATTTATCTAATTTATCTAATAAACAAATATAAATATTTATACGCACTGGTCCATCGCCCGGAGAATTGAACAATTGTTTGATATTTTGAAAGATGGTCATTCTGTCTTGTTCAGAAATATCAAACATACTTCTTTTGGTGATCAAAGCGATGGCCAACAAGAGTTGTTCTCGGACATATTTCAGAAGCCTAAAGTGCAAAGATAAATACAGCGTGTCGTTTATATACATGACAATCAATGATCATATTGTTTATAAACGAACTTTACGCTACACATTAACTAACTAACTAACTAACTAACTAGCTAGCTAGCTAGACTCACGTTGGTCTTTGGGCACAGTAATCAATCATGTAATTCTTGAGCTGGATCAAATCCGATAGCTCATAAAGAGAATAGTCTCTTACAGCTATTTTACCTATGGCATGAGCCACTTGGAACTGAACCATCGGGCTCTGTGCTCTGTCTGAAATAATACATACAGCCCTTTCTCCATCAGCTTATTTGATCGACTTTGATTTTGATTTTTATTTTTCATTCATTTCTTTATATATATATATATATAATAATATAATATAATATACAGATATGCAAATCTATTGAAATAATCTAGCCTTTTTGCCATATATACATATATATATACTATCTTCTTCTGTCTGGAGCTTCTTTGGGACATGATTTATCGTTACTAAAGAAAAAAAAAGGAAGTTGGCTTACCCAGAATATACTGGCATAGAGCAAGTGCCTTTGGCAGCTGACAAAATGAACTTAAGACAAGTTCTGCTGCAGCTCGTGTGGCTGGTACCTTTTTATACATATATGTATATATGTATATGTGGGTGTATGCATATGAATATGAATATGAATATGAATATGAATAATATCGGTATTATTATTACTTTATATTAAAAATAAAATAAAGGCAAAACAAATGACAATCTCTACATGCAAAAAAAAGAGGGGGAGGAGTAATTCATTCAATCGATTTTTTATTACCTGAAAGTCAGCACAAGCTTCTTCAAACTGAACATAGATTGTTGCGGCATCGGGATTCTGGTTAGACATTGACCTGATCCAAAGAAGTGCACAAGCTTTATTATTATATATAAATATATATATATAGATGTGTGTGTGTGTGTGTGTGTGTGTGTGTGTATGCTTAAATATATATGTATATTTATATGTATATGTATATAATATAATATATATCTATATATCTATATATAAAAGAAAGTCCCTTTCTTTTTTTTTCAATGTGTCAAAACTTGCTCTCTCTCTTTTTTTTAAAAAAAAAAAATCCAAAAGAGGATTACGGAGATTTAAAGCACTGGCTGTGACGTTGACTTTTGTATCCAATTAGAGGTAAATAATCAATTCAAATAAATAAGCGGTTCTATGGTTTGAAATAGTCTTCTCCTTTTTATATATATACACACAAAGACACACAAACATACATATATATATCTTATATATATTCTTTGATTCTATATCTGCTTATTTCTTCTTTTGTAAAGCAAAGCTCAAGACCACATAGGCTCCTTATAGACACCTAAAGGCTTCATTTTGTACCCACCAAAGCACGCCTCATCCTTACTCATTTTACCTGGCAACCTAAGCTTGTTCCGCAAAAGAAACAATCCAATCTCAGTTCGACATACAACACTTGTTCAAGTACGATAACTTTGCGTAAGTTATGCCTCCTACCTTCCCTTCTCTCGTCCTTTGGTCCACGCTCTTTTTAGCCTCGACCGTCAAGTCAACAGCGCTATCTTCTTCTTTTTTTGTTCTGGCTATGTCTGTCTATGTCTGAATAACGCACACACACGCACATGAAACGCAGCAATGCCTTGAATATTGGGTGATGAAAAAGCCAAAGCATTTCTTATCCTCTCCAAAGTCCGTCCTCTCCAAAAAACAAACAAACAAACAAACACAAAAGAAGAGAAAAAGAAAAGAGAGGAAGAGGGAGGGAGTCCTTCAATTTCTTCTCTAATCTGGATTCCTTTACAATTGAATCTACCAATGGCGCAGCAATCAAAGATAATTTTTCTTTGCATTCCTCAGCTTTCATCTTCTATCTTTATTTTCTTATTATTTCCTCCCCTTCTTTTCTTTCTTCGGCAACCAAACATTGTCACCGCGACATTTTCAACAAACAACACCGTCAGCAACAACGGCCTACGCAAAACACCAATAACGAAGAGGATGTTCAACAACACAAAGAAAGAAAAAGAGCTATGTTTGAACTGTCTTTTTTCTTTCTTATTATTACGCACGCCGCAAAATAGTATTGCCAACCTACTCAATCCTATTTACTCCCCCTCCTCCTCCCCCTCCTCCCCCTCCTCTCTCTCTCTCTCTCTCTCTCTCTCTCTCTCTCTCTCTCTCTCTCTACCTCTACAAATATCTCTTCCTCTTTCTTTTTATATATTTAGTATTTACGTGTTTTTTTTTTTGGTTTGAGGCTCATTATTATGTGTGGAAATGAGGAACGGACTAGGAGAAAGAATGCTACGTCACCCCATATCAGTCGAAGCGTGTGGAGATGTATTAGGGCTCAGAGCGTACATACTACAAGGAGAAGAGATTTCGTCTCTCACACAACGGAGTATTGACTCACTTTCTTATATATATATATTTATTTGGACACAAAAAGAGTTTTATTTGTCCATCTCTCTTTGCACCTTAGCACCAACTTATACAACAACCCACCTAAATCATGTCATCCACACGCAACATCTTTAACCAGCCCTCCAACAACGGTCGTGTTGTCACTCTCCAGTCAGGTGGTTTGAATGAAAGGTGAGACATCTTTTTTTTTCTTTTATATATATATAAACATGTAAGGATGTAAACACACAAACTCATTTTTTTTGTCTTTCTATGTATCAGATTTAGCCAATTGAGCCAAATTAGCCAAATTAGCAACGCAAAGAAGGTTTATGTTAAGGAAGATGTCGTTACTTCATCGAGCGTTTTTAGCCGCATCCGTGGTAACACTGCCTCTCAGGGAGGTCGTAAGAATGGGTCAAATGGTATCCAAAGTCGCTTAGGAAAGACAGTTGGTAGTATTCAAAAGCGTACCAATGCACAGTCCATGTCAGGCGTTGTTAGACAGGGACAAGCTAATGTACGTGGAAAACAATACACATCACCAGCCTTAACAAGAGGAGGAGGAGGACGCAGACAGCAACCACAGAACAACAACAACAACAACAACAGAAACAATAACAACAGAAACAACAACAGTGGTCCTAGAGGACAACAGCAAAAGGTTCAGCGTGGTGGTGCTTCAGGTCAAAGAGGGGGTCGCCAGGAAAAGCCCAAGAGAGCTACGGCTGAAGATCTCGACAAGGCTTTAGATGCTTACATGATGAAGGATCCCAAAACTGCCCAGATCAAGCTCGACGAAGAAATTACTTCTTATATGGACGAGGCAGGCGATATTCTAATGGATTTGTAAAAAAACAAACAAAAAAAACAAAAAGAAAGAAAGTTAATTATGTAAAGGACAACGGCAAAACAACAAGAACAAAAACATGAACATGAACATGAACATGAATATGAACATGAACATGCAAAAAAAAACCAAATACGACACCTCTTTACAACTGTAGTCAAATCGTTTCTATACACACGAGTACATAAACTCATATACTATACATACAAAAGAATATATATTTATATATACTAGTAACAGGCTTTGTAGCGCAAAGTATATATACATATCTTCCCTCTATTCGTGTTTGCTTGTTTGTTTGTTTGTTTATGTATGTATGTATGTATGTATGTATGTATGTATGTATGTATGTATATACGTACGTGTTTTTCTTTCTTTCTTTCTCATGCTGCACTCTGCCTTGGTAAATATTCTTATAATTTCTCAATATTTTAGATCTTTTATTCAAAAGCAATGCTCTGAACTTACCATTAAGCAATCTCAATTTACTCATTGACAAATAAATGTGAACCCAAATATTCAAAAGTCTTCACCCTTTCTTTTTTTTTCTTTATTTTGTTTTGTTTTGTTAAAAGCGTCTAATTAAATTTATCCCTGTTGATCAAAGGGATTTATCAATAAGCAAAAGATATATCCGCAAACGATCTCTTATTAACCCATACAGGCAAATTTTCCTAACTGATAAAACTATCTTTTAAGATATTCAAGTTCTTGTTTAATAAAAAAAAAAAGACTATTTTCCCTTTCATTTATTTTTTGTTAATTGAAAAGCACACGTAAAAATTGAAGAAAAAGAAGTTCAATTAGTGCGGATTGGCTAAATACTATACATACGTGAATTAGACAGAAATATTAGATTATTCCATGGATTGATTATATAAATATGAATATACTTTTCTTATTTTATTTTATTTTTCATCAAAAATGCATAAATTATTAGTAGTAAAAATAGGATATGTAAATACAGAATGATATACAAGTTATTATTTACTCGGCCATTGTTAATTATAAGATATGATGATAATCATAATAATCACAAGTCATTTTCTTTTGATTCCTTTCATCCTCCAACTGGTATTCTTGTCAAAATTAATTATTTGAAGGTCACATAATAGTCACAAAAAATTTAATTTTAAGACAGTGTCCTTTTGTCATTGAGGTATTAAAATGAGGTTATATAAAATAATACAGAGTCATGTATTACTTGTACATCAAAATATTATGAAGTAAAAAAATCAGAAACAGAATGCAGTGTGTCTCGCTTTATATTACAAAAATCAAGAGGTAATCATAAATTCTGGATAACTTTTAATAATGGTTTTCTCATCAATAATACAACAAAAAAAAGTACACATTTATTATTCTTACTGTAATTGAATTTTGGGCAAGGTAAAGCCGCTGATTGGCCCAACCACAAACTGTTCAATAGTACAAGAAGTATTGTAAATAGTATTTTAGTAAAAAGAGAAGTAAAAATTTTATTAAATAAAATAAATATCACATAGTACACGGTTTTCTTTGCATTAGCTTTAAAACATTTGTATTAAGAATAGAGCTACTCTATTGGTCATCTAAATGTGTATTGGATTTATATCATGTGATTATAGAGAGAACATATCTTTCAAAAAATAATTATAGTAATTTATTCGGATTTCTCGGTGTTCAATACCCACAAGTTGGCTAAATATTTGAGATTGAATATAGCCAACAGTATCCAAGGCAGTCAGATGATTCCTTACCTACTAGAAAACTATAATATGGCACTATGACTTACCAGTGGGTATTTCTATAAGTAAATAGCTCTCAAAATGACATGTGTCAGAGTGAAAGGTGTGCACTGCTCAGAAGGAATGGATTCTATGAAATTTCTTTGCAGTAGGCATTCAATATTTTTTTTAATAATTAAATAAATGAAAATAAGTTTTACACTTTTGCTGAATCAGTTTATCAATTTTTTCAAGTTAAAAAACAGCAGTCGTTTACTTAAAGTCTAGGACTGTACAGGCGTTCTATATTCCGAGATCACTGGTTTATATTTTCTGGTTCGACCATTTATTTTGATACATAAGAAATAAAATAGGTTTAAAGAAAAAACAGAATCACGTGACAAATCCTTTACACTTTTACTAGTAAAATTATTACATCTTTAAGCAGTGAAAATTGTAACAAACTCCACATATAAAAATTGTTACGATCTCGCCTTTTACTTAGGCTTTCTAACTCCGTAAACTCCATATAGAACGCCAAAAAGATGATGAAAACTACCAGACTAAACTGTTTTCTTGGATCTTTGTAAAAATCTGTGCCTTCACAATGAGCTACAATCGATCTCGCAGTTTAAAACGGACGTTTAAAACACGTTTTATTTAAAAACAAAAAGAAAGTATGCTTTGTGGCAAACCCAAGAACAAATAACAAAAACAGACAAGCAGGCAGACAGACAAAGGCAGACAGACAAAGGCAGACAGACAGATAGAGGAATAGGACAAGTTGGGAATGGAAGTAGAAGCTACAATGCTGCAAGACTGTACCATTTTGTTATTAATGTTGATGTATTGGGTTTGGCTTGTTCAACCAATTTAGCTGCTGCCAGAAGCAACAGCAGAAGATGGCTTCTTCTTCTTCTCAGCTTCTTCTTCCTTCTCTTTCTCGATCTCTGCAACAACAGACTCAACCTCCTCAATCTCAAGAATCTTATAAAACAATACACCGTTTAGTTTTTCCTTATTCTCCTTGTATCTCTCTTCTTCTATATTTTTCTTATAATCCCAATTGTCTTGTGACCTTACCTTTACTACACTATCAGAAGACATAACAGCAATCTCAATGTTCTTGGCACCTGTCTGGACAACCTGTAATCAAACACAATAGCATGAATACACTGTATAGAACGCATTTCCAGTAAAGCGTATATTATATACCTCTAACAAAGACTTGACAGCCAATTTAACGGTCTCTTTGCGATCCATGTCCTCCTTGTAGTTCTTTTCCAAGAACTCACGCACAGTCTTTGAGCTTCTACCAATAGCATTTGCCTATAACCAATTTGAACGGATCAGAATTGAGCAACATCATATGTCTTGCTCTTTCTAAGTTTGAGATATCGAATTGATGCGCCTTATTTACCTTCCAGGCAGTGTAAATGCCAGATGGCTCGGTCATGTAAAGTCTGGGGAACTTTTTATCAAAACCAACAATTAAGGTAGAGATACCAAAGGGACGCACACCACCACTCTGGGTATATTTCTAACACAGATGTTAGCATATTACTTTTATTAAACCACACACACACACACATATATATATATCCAAGTGAATATATACTCAACCAGAAAAAAAAAAGATGTCTTACTTGTTGTACTTGAGCAATGTATCGTGTAATATACTCTACAGATGCTGGGTCCTCTACTGTCAAACGATGACTCTGACACTCTGTTCTTGCCTTGTTAACCAAAACACGTGCATCAGCAGTAAGGCCTAAATATACATTAATGACATAATACTTTAGTCTGTGTTCAATGATGTCCAAAAGATCTCAAATATCCACACAATTTTTTGGAGCAGTTTCCCTCATTTTTATTTTATTTTTGTTGTATTTTCTGCTGCCATTACCTGCAAATGCCATGGCAATGTGATCATCAAGCATGCAAATCTTGCGAATTGTTCTAGGGTCCTGCAACTTCAATACTGACTTCTTTTCGACACCGAGAACGACAACATCCTTTCCACGGACACCAACCTAGGTTCAATAGCGGATTGAATGATGAGTCTCTGGAAATGATGTGTAATATTATGCATTCGAGTTACTTACCGCACAGGTACCTTTTCGTACAGCTTCGGACGCATACTCGACTTGAAACAAGTGACCATCGGGAGAAAAGACAGTCAAAGCACGATCGTATCCTGACATTCTTCTTTAACTTGTATCTGTATTAGAAATAAAGGGAAAAAAGGGGGAAAGATATAGTGCTCTTTGTCGGTACTTGCTTGGAGACGGACTGACAAACGCAACGTACGCGTCGCGTGCAACGTCATATCTTTAAACAAGTCACTCTGCTACAGGCACCTCCCGTGCCTTCAAGGAATTAAAAATGTAACTGTAACTGTACCTGTACCTGTACCTGTTTCAAAAAAAAAGGGCATTATTTACTAGGAAATCTTGGAATCCTAAAAATGCTGTAAATAATATGAATTAATATTTATTTTAGAGTCGAGAAAATAAAAGTGGTATTTTTTAATTTTTAATTTTATTTCATTTTTGCCTTTGTGATGGTACCAAATATATGTAATGTTAGTTTTAAAATACTAAGGCCTGTCAAATAAAGAAAGGCTTGGAAAAGAGTCTATTGTACAGTAGCTAAAATATTATGTAGCCTTATCCGAAGCTTAATAAGTACATGAATATATGAATAAAAATCATATAACATGGCATTTTCTTTGTTTATTACTCTCGCATAATTTACTGCTGTACTGCGTCTATAGTTAATCAATATTGTATTTGACATATATTTAATATTGAAACATAATAGCATATTTGTGTCCAAGATACTTACATTCACTTTTTTTTTGCTTTACAGTAATAATCATTTGAACAAGGGATCAAAGCATATAGTCAATACATTATTTCTATATCAGTAATAGTAATTAGATCATTCATAATCTCAAGATAAAAACAGAATTCCTTTATCTATAAACTACAAGAGAAGGTTTGTATATAGTTTAAAATTGTATCATAACCCTAATAATGAGTATGATTCTATTTGGTATCAATTGCTTATACTTTCTATCAAACGTAAAGCAAATACAATACCAACAAGTCTTCCACTCTCGTTAAATTATAACCTTTAAATATTCTGCACACTGTATATTGACCCTTTATTCAATCGCGGTTAAATAAACCATCAATCTTGTTCAATTGAGTTGAGTTCTAGTCTCTGAACTAAATAACACCAAACTCTTATTCATATGTTATGGGCATTCTTATTTCATAACTTTAAGAGGCAAGGTAGCAAATGATTCGAACTCCTCGCACCAAACAGTGCTAAATCACTAAACAATGCTCAATTGACATAATTTTTGATCCAATTTAACTGTCTTTGTGTGTTTTTTTTTAAAAAGAAAGATTGCTTGTAAATCTCAATATATAAGCTAGATACAAAATGCTCGATGGAACCAATTTTCCCTAGTTTTACAAACAAAGATACTCGTTTCCTTCAATTCCAGTTCCAGCTGATCGTGATTGGCAAATTAATCCTTTCATTCAATCAGCACACCGTGTCTCATTCTTTTTATTAATTATTTCGGATAGGCTAGAGCTATTTCCAAGGGAAGGCAATTTCTTTTACATATATATATATATATGGTATGGTATTGTTCAATTTTTTTTTGGTTGGGCAAACCCATGAGGAGGGTATTGTTCAAGTACAACAATAATACGCACTAATTCAAAACGAATTTAATAGTTCATCAAATATAATAGCACTAGTTAATATTGTCTAAAGTTGTTAATATTTGACTTGAAAAACATCGTCGTATATATTATGTGTCTTACAAAAGACGTATCTATTTTTTTATATTGATTTAAGGGTCAATTGATTATTTATAAAACTAAACACAAAAAAAAAGCAGTAGGGACATTGAAGGGTATCATCCATCGTTTATCAGGATTATTCGCTCGCTTGATTCGCTTAAACCTGGATGGTTAAGACTAAAGCGTGTACTTCAAAACAACTAATGCTTCATCTGACAGTTTTAGCTTTTACAGTATCTAATATATGATATTTATTCTCAAATGCATTGCGTATTTGCATATAGTCCGAAGCTTAAGATACAGTCCTTCCAGAATCTGCAGGTATCTTTTCAACAGTAGCAGCAGCAAAAACAGTGAGGGTCAGATCAAGAATAAATATAAACATGCGTAAAATAAGTTTATTTAATATGCAAGCTTTAAAGAATTTTATTTATCGCTAAATATTTTGCTGCAGTGACCAGAAAAAAAAGTAAGACTGGGCAAGAAGAAAATAGCGACAACGGAGAGAACAAATATACATAAAGAAAAATGTTAAATGATAATTCATTATCATTCAATAAACTATCTAGCAAGCTTTCGTCATCACTCGGTACAATATCTAGTAATCTTTCGTCACAGATTTATCAGTGAATACCTTTTTTGACTTTACTACATCATACTCTTAGATATACACTCTCGCATTCGCAATGTCAGACAATAATTCATTTGATGAATTTGATGATTTTGATGACCTTGATGACTTTTGCACCGAAGAAACTTTTGCGATACTAGATCGGCTCGAACACGAGCAAGAAGCATCACAAGCAACCCAATTAAACACACTTTCCCGATGTCTTCAAGATGTTACATTGGCAAGACAACAAGAACAACAACAAGCTAATTGTTCAATTGGGAATCCACAAGTAATCTATATACAGAGAATCTATTTATTTTTTAAAGCACAAATTCCATTCACTTGCATTCACTTATTCAATGTCGACAAACGATTTTTTCTTTAAAAAAATGAAATGACAGGAAGAGATCGATCGACTAAAACACATGGTTCAATGTTTGCAAGAGAAAATCGAGTGTATGAATGAAGCTAGTAAAGAAGAAGAACACAAAATTAGTCAAGAGAGAATTCAATTGAACTTCCAAGTAAAGTATATAAAAGATAAGAAAAAAAGCAACAAGTATTGCCAATTAAAAAAAATCGTTTCTTCTTTTTCTCTTTGTGTAGAGACAAGAAATCGAGTCGCAGAAACTAAAGATGTTAATTGTAGAACAAGCAAAGCAGCTAGAACCCAAAGATCAGTCGATCCAGTCAGATAAGAGTTTGTATTATTAAAGCTTCGTGCTTTTCTTTAACTTACATACACCCTGTATTGACTTTTTTTTTGTGAATACACATGAAAAGAGAGAAAAATATTTCCAGACCAATCTTATTTTCATCATGTCCCATCAAAGTTGTCTCAGCAAGACAACAAGACAGTGCACTATCAAACTCAATCTACTATTAAGCCCACTGTCGATTCCGTTCCTGGTCCGTCGGTACAGCCGATAGCCCCTTTACATGTACTACCACTTCCATGTTCGCCTTCAACTCCTGTCTACAAAGTTTCCGATAGTCCCTCAGAAAACTCGCGTCAATTCACAAAAGAACCTCCGTCAAGTTCATCTTTAGCATCATCAGAAAAACGAGTTTACACCCCAAGCGTATCAATACGAAAAAAGGTAGATGCACAGACATAAGGATAATCACTTTCTTTTCCATTACTAATATCGCCATTATTTGTTTAATAATAAAGTCCAACCGACTCGATCACTTATTCGCCAGCCTACGTAACGACTGGAGTAAAAGAGACACCGCATTGTCTGAATTAGATCCAGAAGAGGCTCATAAACTTTTCATTAACCAGCTTCGGCCAGATCAAGATACTGCATCTTATACGTATAGATTGAATCAATTAGCAAATGAAATTGATAGTCTGCTGAGACGATCGCCACATACACCTCTTCAAACTACAATCTGGGTCTTCCTCAGATTAGTAAAAGAAGCGTTTTATATTTCTATCAATAGAAAAGAGGTAAGTTTTTCTTTTTTATTATTGCTAATAATAATAAAGTATCAAAATGAAACTTTACACATAACATGGCTTTTTGTTACTGTTCTAGGCTAGATTAATCGCAAGATACCTTGAAATATTGTCTGTCTTAACATACTATTATGATGAAGCTTGTTTTTTTATGGCCTTTGAAGACAACCAAGGTAATCGCACATACATTAAAAAAAAAGGAAAAGATAAATAATTGTAATTGGGTGTTTGTATTTTTATTATTATTTAATTCTTCTTGTAGGTCACATTCCGTCTCTACTAAAAATCATTAAGAGCTCAATAGCCTATTTTACTGAAACTATCCAGAGAGATAACCAATACAAAATATTCTTTTGCCAAAAAAAGATGAGTCTGGAAGAACTTTGTAATAAGTTTAAATACGAGACACCTGACAGTCTTGAAATCAGCATGATGGTGGTTGCCTGTAAAAAAGATGTAACAAAGGGTATGAATTATATATTGGATATATTTGGGAACCTCTTGATGTTACCCGTGGAGCATGCATCTAGGTAAATAATATATCTTATAGATATATATTGTGGGTATTGACGCGTGAGCGTATAAGTAACTGCTCTCTTTTCCTTATGTATATAGCTGTCTGGCTGAATTCCCGCTTGATGAAATTAACGACATTGTCAAATATGACACTAAAGAAGTTGCAAGACTTAAGCAGCTCAGAAGAGCATATGAGTCGATGTGTAAGACATCTGTGTAAAAGAAGTGTTTATATCATTTTATTAGCTGTAATTTTAGGGATATTATATAAATGTATGTATATAAAAACTATATGTAAAGAATGTACCATTTTATTTAAAAGTAGAGCCAAAATAATCAATACTTGTTGCATAACGTTATTTACTCTAAACAATTTTCTTATATTGAGATTGATTGATTTCAATATCATATAAAAGGGATAAATTGAATGTTTTGATGAGCTGAAATATGGTAAAATAATTTAAATATTAGAGCTGTTTGCTTATGCAAGTCTGTAATTGAGAAAATTGAAACAAAAGGACATTTAGTCTCTTTTTTTGTATGTGTATGTGTTTAGATTAAATAACCCCAAACTGAAAATAAGTCTATATTTTATACTAATTCAATTCAAATTGATTTAATTTAATTAAAATGTATTTGACGATTGTTTACAGCGTTTAAATTCTACTTGATTTTCCAAACCACCATATATGATACCCACCTGTCAATACAGATAGAAGAGGGTACATTGAAAATGTAACTTTATTTTTTATCTGTAGTGGAAATTTTATAGTAAACATTTGGATTGGGGTATAAAATGGGGAAATGTATTGTTTGGTCAAAATTCCATCCTGAAAAAGCTTGTAAAAATGCCCAACTAAAGTCACTTTTTGTTTTCTTCTTTTACCACAGTATATAGAAGACTTCTTACAACATAGTAGACAACCAAAAATCTGATTACAAGCGCAAGAGAGCTGTTAAGGATATGATAGTTTATTATTATATTTTTCTTAAATTCTAGTTTGGCATCTTATAGAGCCTCATTTTGTAAAAGAGTTGTACAGATAGAAATGTATATGCATGCCATTTTATCAAAGTAGATATTGAAAAATATTTAAAGTCAAATCTACCTGTACATTAAGGTTTCCACACTATCATGTCTCAATTCTGTTAAAGGGGGTTTTTTTTTAAGAATTCTTACATAAAGTTTACAAGCTTATAGAGTAAATCTTGCCTTAGTCAAAAAAATCCATTTTTCTTATCTATGATAGCATATTATGAAAACAGCTTTTCATATACTGCATTTGTCAAAATTTATTTATTTTTCAACAAAAATAAAAGGTTCAATTTCTGGTGATTTGTTCAAGATATATATCAGACAGCGAAAAATAAAATCTTATGTATTCCATGCACTAGTGAATACAATTTATTTATCTCTATTTGTATATGCTTTGATACGAGAAATAAATAAATAAATAAATGTATAGAAAAAACAAGATTGTAGAAGTCTAAATGTATCAAGCACCACAGACAAGATTCCATAACAAAAGATTCTCGAGAGTAACTACACCTCGTTTAGAGTAAGGCTTTCCCACAGATCTACATGTATTATCTGTTGTACCAAGCTTATGAACGTCCCAGAGTAAAACACGATTACCATGCCTTTGGGCTGCATTACGGACAGCCAAGGCAAATTCATTGCTTCGCCCGAGATTCCATGATGTAGTATGAATGTTAGCACAGCAGAAAAATTGTGGCGTCCTTAGGATGATAGTTTGATGAGGGTAAATTTTTTCGAGAACATAAGAGAGTAGCTCTGAGAATGTTTTCTCAAATTGAATAGGCGTGACACTGCTTAAGGGAATGTCGCCATTTCCTAATCCAAGTATTACAAGATCTGCCTTTGGTGTTTTTCCGACTTGAGCCTCCAGTACAGTCTTCCAATCATTGGATACAATGCTATCAACATTATTAAAGTAAAAATCTGCATTGCTGTACCAAGTAGAATTGATTTTCAACGGTACAGAGGGGTCAACAGCCCAAGGGTAGAGCGTGTGGGTCGGGTCTTCGTCGTCGTCATCGCATATACAAGGGTTTTCTGGTTCTATCAGATCATTACACCATCGATTGGCATTACTAAACGACTTTAGGTTTCTACATAAAATATTAGCGAGTGCTCTTGTTCTTGTTATAGATTCTAAGATTACCTTCTCAAGTTGCCATCACCCCAAACGTGTACAATCTTGTCTTGAAAGCAAGCAGCTGCTTGCCCAACGCCAATATATTCCATACGACATTTATCAGGTACATAAAGATATCCATCGTTGGCATGATCTTCTTGTAATGGACCAAACATGCCATAAAAATCCAATGGGTAGGTGTGTTGGAAAGCGGCTTTGTTCATCCAGCTGCCTTCAATATTCTCAGGCTTTCTCATATCGCACGCTGGTAAGATTGGTTGTACCTCTTGAGATAGTACCTTGATAACATTATCTGATTTAAATGATTCTGGCTGATAGGAATGGTGGGTAGGTTCCTCCCAAAAGTAGGATCTATATTCGGTAATTCCATCAAGAGTGTAGATATCTGCATGCGTAAATCGAACAGAAGCGATATATACATTTGCATGTTTAGGGTCTTGCTTCAGGTAAATTGGTATAGTGATATTGTATCCTACAGCATTCAAGATGATGCTATCTGCTAGGCCAACATGGTCCTCGGGGCTGATAGTGGAAGTAGCTGGCATTGGTACAAGCTGTTTAGACAGGTCAGATAGATTCCCAGGTAATAGGATATTATTTAATTGTTACCAGGACAGCGACACAGCGATAGTCTCCTTCCTTAATCAGTTGATCCTGGGAAGTATAGGTACCATCTTTTTCTAATACAATTGCCTTTGTTGACAATCCATTCCAATTTTCTTTACTGGATGTTCTATCGTAAACGCATGTCAGATTAATTTTGATGAAGTTGAAATTCTTACAGTAATTCAATATTAGCATTAGCGCATATATTTTCTTTATCATAGTCTGGTTTGGAGTTCGGCGGTGGCTGATCAGGCTTTTTACTGGCTTTCTCAAAAAACTTCCAATCATTATCTTTTGTTGGATCGTATGATGTGTGATGAAAGTAGATTCCTGTAATCAGTAGTATCAGGCACAAAGCAATCAATCCGAATGTCCGCCTTCGGATTGTTGTGGTTTGCATTTTGAATGTAATTTGTTGATGAGCCCAATTTGTATTTACTCAACCAAATGTATATATAAATGTATATATTTATATGTGTGTTTATGTATAAAAGTTGTATATATGTATTTGTAAAATGTACTAGCTTCAACTCTTAACCGAGACAAATGGTTTCTAGACTTAAAGTAAACTCAGCGTTAAATATATATATATATATTTATGTTTCTGTCACTTTTTTTTTTTAAAAAAAAAAATTAAAAACTAAAAGGTTTACGACAACTTATTTTAGCTATTTTATTTTTATGGACCAAAGACTCGACAACTTTCAAATATTATTTGAGCAAGAAGTGTGTGATGTTTAAGCTTTAATTTTTTCTATTGGTCAATTTTATTGTTAGAAGTCTAATGTATTTTCATTAATGGTTCATAAGCTGTTCATTTCTTTTGACTTTAGTACTTTTTTTTTGGTCGTCCTGAAATATATTTAAACCCAGAAACTAAATTCAGTATTCAGTTTGTTTTAGATTGAAACCAATGCAATGGTTTTGGATTTGACTTTTCATTTTCAGGAACATAAAAATAATACTAAATAAGTCATTAAGAAGAGCATACTTAGATTTTGACATGTAACAACGATAAAGAGAGCCATTGTGTATGTGTCTCGGCCAATACTTTACGCGTATGATATATTGATACTAACAGCAAAATGGCCACTATTAAGATGCTACACTTTAGGGCTTGCTTTAAGTTATTCTAGTGGACCTGAAGTATTAAAATACACGGAGTCAATACTAAGCGCAACTTTCACAAAATATCCCTCATTTGTTTATACAATGAAATGTAAAAAAAAGAAATAAATTATTTTTGTGGGGGTTAATAAGTAATTGGGTGATTCTTTTTTGTTTTGTTAATATAATGAAAGCAAGAGGACAATAAAATAATGCTATTGAAAAATGTATTTACAAAAACAACAAACATTACGTAGGATAATACTAGTGGCATGTATGGCGGATGTTGGTGAAGTTAATAAGCAAAGATATAGAGAAGAGAAGAAGAAAAAGAAAGACAGAAAGGAAGAAAGAGAAGTTGATGGTGATTATAGGGGGAAAGGGCACGGTTTTGTTTTCATGATTCGTATGTGGTAGTGATGGTGGCAGGAAGGAGTAGAGTATATCAGGGCACGTTTGAGCTTGGAGTGGCACTTTTGAGACGATTTAGTTTTCCTGCAAAGTCTGCACCATGCAAGTCCATGAATTTTTCTATTTTCGTTCTTAATGCACTGTTCATAGCAACGATCTTTCGGCCTGACTGGAGTTCACGGTCTACGATGTGATGTGTCATCTAAAAAACCCAAATACAAATCTCGTAAATCAAACCATCATCTTCTGAGTAGTTTCCTTTTATTCTTACCCTTCGTGCCAGATCTTTAAATATATTTTTGTCTTCTTTCCACAAATGCTGTTGGCGTGCACTTAGATACTTGGTAACTACCTTACCGATCTCTCTCTTTAGATCAATATCATTCAGAAAAGGCCCCTGGGGATCATCCCCTACCGATTGAGCATCTGTAGATCCACTTGTACTTGCTGTCGGTGTCATGGTATGAGGTGAGCGGCCAGCTTTGCTAGTAGTAATCGAATTAACCGGACTCGGGCTACACCCTTCCTCCAAACGCTTCTTTTTTTCAGATTCTAGAATCGCGTGCTCTATTTGACCTTCAATTTGCTCTTGAGAAACACCCTCGATCGAACTCTCTCTCTCTTCAGGGAACAGCCACTGTGATTTCCGGGTGAGGATATTATAGTAGTATACTGTCCCGTCTTCTGTATTTGCTGATCGCCAATTAAGAGGTAATTTACGTCCATCTGATGTCTCTGTGGCACCTTCTATAGACGCATCATATTGGGCCGCTTCTACCGCCGCCGCCGCCGCCGCATTATAACTTTCTTGGTAGGCAGCCAATGAGAGTTGATAGGCAGCATCATTAGCGTATAATTGACTGACGTCGTAAGAGAGACTATCGATCGAGAAGTCTGTAGCTGCCATAGATTGGTCTGTTGGACCAATATATCTATACTGCCCATCTTTCAAGGTATACATAGCAGCTGGATCTTGGAGATAGCCAGGGTATGCAGTGGTCGATACTGGCCAGTCGAGCATTGCGCGTGGTGCAGTCGGAATAACAGGGCGAGGCGGAAATCGAAGTTTCCATTCGATTTCAGCTTGGTCTGCGTCAAGGGAAAGGTACTCGAAATAGTCGTCATCTGGATCAAAGAATTCTCGGGTTGACAAGAAGCGAACCTTCTTTCGAGGCAACAAGCCGTTTTCTTGGTCCATCACACGCTTTGTTCCTGTAGATTCATCTTTATACCAATACCTCTAACGATGAGAAAGATTTGCATTATAATTAAAATAGTACTATATTACCTTCCACTGCTACTTTTGCAGATTTACGCTCTACATACTGTAGAGGGCAAGTAAAGTTAGAGTAAGAGACACAGGAAAGCCCAAAAAACTTACTGCACGCTTTGGGATGCGATAGATACTTTTGAGTTTTTCCCAGTCGCTTTCCAGTTTCCGTGCCAGTTCACCGATATCCTTATCTTCGTGGTCCGTGAGTTTTTGGATGACATCAAACATTTTACAATCTTCAAGTCCATTCTTATTGGCAAGTGGTAGACTGTCCAAAACACGCAATACACTTTTTACGATCTCCTCGTCTCCTTTCCATTCACCCAGCCAGAATTTAAGCATCTTGAGCCCGTGAAGTCTGACAAAGTTTTTGAGAACCTCTCTTCCGACTGAGTTGTCGGGGTTAGTGAGTTCTAGGCGGTGTAGGAGACGATTGACAAGACGTGGTTTGCCAACCGAGTCGAGCATTTTCTTGACAAAGCTCTGGACTTCATCAGGATCATGGAGTGGTTGAGGTGGTTTTGAGCGTTTTCTGAGAGAACGTTTTTGGGATATTGTGACAGCACCTGCTCCGTCAGTATCTTCGTCGTCAGAGGGTTGCATGCATGGACCTGCCAAAGTTTCCTGATCAGCTGTGCCGAGCGCACCTCCGATGTAACCTTTACAGCATGATTCGCCACAATAACATTTTTGCGCAACTGCTCCATAGCGCTCAAACTTGTAATCGAATGTCAACTCATCTCCTGCTTTTACAAACTTGGTGGTGAATATACCAATTCGCATCTTTTTTCCAATAACCCATTTCTGCGTCACACTGTTTGGTTTACAGGAGTGGTTGATGAAACGAGCGAGACAGCCCTTCTTAGTGGCGTCAATGATCTACCAACAATTACTCTATTAAGCTACAAATACTTTTTTTTTATCTTGTGAAAGAAAATAAAATAGAGCGATATTTGGCAGAAATTTGCTGCCTTTTTTTTTCTTACCTCATCTGTCTTGAGGGTCATAAAATAATAATGCTCTAATCCTTCTGTTTCATAGGATCGAGTGCGACGAACAAATTCGTTGTTGGGGATAACCTCACCAATGTATTCCATAATAAACGCATTCCTACACTCACACCCATTCGCCCCCACCTCCTTTTATGAGTTCTAGGCCCAATAAATGAAATAAATAGAAGACTTACGCTGGTAAATCGGTTAGGGCTCGTAAACCAAATCCTTTTTTCTCAGTCTTTATCACATCCACACGCGCGTATTGGCATAACTGAAACCTCCGATTCTGGCAATACCGACCACAATGGCAGTCATCCACCATGCATTCCATAAACATCATGCGATTGATGCAAAAATTGTCGTCACCACATGCCGCACTAACATCATCAACATCAGGATCGTACTTGCATTCACATGGCATCGATTCTTCTGCAATTGACCGACCAGATGCTGATCCACAATATATATTTGCCAGAATATTCTCATAAGTTTGCATAGCTTCGGCTGTAGCAGATGGGAGACACAAAGATAAATGATTACTCTTGTCCATGTCGTCTGTTGATTGATTCCAGTCCACATACATTAACACACACATATACAATAAACAATATCAAGGAATAATAAGGAGCAAGTGAGTATAATAGTAAAAGTAATATTAAAAAATAAAGAATAAAGAAAATGTTACCATTATTCCAATCGTCCGATTCAATTGATGAAGAATGAGATTGTTGTGGAGATCCTATTGCCTTTTGCTGCGGAAGTCGCTTTGAGCCATACTTTCCAAATGGATAGTCTGGTAATGGGTTGGTATAATGGGCTGGCTCAAAATCGCCTATCGATATTGCATCGTCTTCTCCAAATTCCTCATGAGTGTTACTGTAGGGGCTATCCCCCATAATATCAACAACTTTGGTATCTTCGTCTGTAATGGTGGTGTCGGTTTGTGTTGGTTTAGGTGTGGACTTTTGATCGTTTTTTTGAACATTCCATTCCCACATTTGGCTTGTGGAGGATGTATGTTGGGTGTGAGCATGCGTCTCTCCACCATTCGGTGGAGCCAGTGTTCCTTTAAGGCACTCTCTGTTCAGTACTGCAGAGCGCATGAGTCGTCGGCTTGTTTGTTTGTCTGCTCTACCTGCTTTCAAGTGGCCACCGAGCGTGTCCTTTTGTCTGACGGCCAGTGATATTGCGCTTGGTTCCCTGTATAGATATTGAAAGTCAATAATGATGTGCTTGGTTTGTGTTTTCCGGGTTCGAACATATACTTGGTTGATTTACTTTAAAGTATTGTAAAGAAAGAAGAAAGGGAAAAGAGAGTTGGGGTTTGGGGAGTGAGGTCCATTTTGTATACATAGGCTTTATATGTACCTGAAATTAGCACTATGCATGCCTGCGTCAGTATCCAGGCCGCTGTTATGATGTATGATAGGAGTGAGTTGAAGATACGATTATGAAGGTAATAATAGTATAAATAGAGATATAAAAATGTAGAGAATGGAAAGGATCTTGTTCTTTGTCTGCTTGGTACTTTACTTCTGTTTCTTCGCACCAAGCGAGTAGAAGAAGCGGAAATGAAAAAAATAAAATGTAGGAGAAAGAAATATATTATATATATATAAAATATAAAATATAAATAAAATAAAAATGTTAGTACCACTCACTAGTGACTTTCCAAAAAGAGAGACGCGCAAAAAGAAATGAAGAAAGAAAGAAATAAAGAATATGTGTGTGTTATATATATATATATTATATATTAATTATAGGAATAAAAATAAAAATATAAAAAGAAAAGTAAAAAAAAAAAGGTTGGCTATACTCTGTTTTACAGATTCCTTTCTTTCTTGCTTTCTCTCTTTTGTGGTATGCCTCTAAACTTCCATTGACAACGCTTCAGAAGGTCTCAGTTGCCGAACGTCATAGAGTTCATACCACTGCAAATGCTTCTGTTCGCGATTGCTCTCGGACCAAAATTCGATGCAATTGGCCCAACAGCCGTGATCAAACACATTGCCTCTCCACTGACTGGTCGGCTGGGTTCGCCGCTTGTGCAACGCCCTAGCTCCTGCCACGAGCTGCAGGCAAGGACAGAACCCACCATTAGAGCCATGCGAGTGCCCATGCGAGTGCCCATGAGAATTTCCTGGATCGTTTGCAGGATCTACATGTCCTAGACCGATAACTGTAGCTACCCGATCAATTTTACGAGTTTCATGATTCATATAAGAGTATCGATGACTATTCGCACTCTCGTTGGTCGTTGTCGCTACTGCAATCTGGTAAAGCTGAACTACCAATAGGAACACCGACCAGGACAGTTGTAGGCACACCCACAATGCCAGCGCCATTGTCCATCCATCATAAGCAAAATAACCACACGCTGTCTCTCCAAGAAAACATGTATTGTCGGTTATAGCCATGGGTGGAGATGCAACAAAATCTACAGAGCTGTGTGAGTTAGCTTCTTATTTTCTCTTTTTTTTTCATGGAACTATATTGAAGAAAAGCGGCTATCAATAAATAATACTTGCATTGATATACGAGTAAAAGATATGCCGTAATGCTAGTGACCATGTTCAACAGAAAGATCATAAATGATCTGTGGTTGTGGACACCAATACAATTTGATATCCAAGGACAATGACTAGTGTTTATGGTGAGTATGATACGTGTGCACACCATAAATACTTACTGGTCAAATCGAGCCACACATCGATTACAGATTTTACAATGCTTGGATCTTAATGGCTTTTTAATCTACGCCATTATCAGTACATACTTCAATTACGCTTTATATACTTACCATGCAAGAAAAACAAAAATGCCGGATATCCAGATTTTGATCTTCTGCAAGTTCAAGCACGGCTTCTTTTGTGATCTGAATCGGAAGATCTTTTTTGAGGAACCCTGGGTCGGCTCTGATTGCTTTGAAAAAGAAATATAGCGCGGTGCCGAAACAAATGATAAAGATAATGTTGGTAAACATGAACTGTGAGGTAACTGGTGAGATAGAAGTAAGTCGGTTAATTAATGTGCTTTTGATTGATTGGCGGTCTACAAATGTATATATATATACATGCATATAACAATACACATATACTTGCCTGGAATAAGTGTAGTAATCCAGGAGTAAAAAACCCAAAATGCACTGGATTGGAATATGCTTGAGAAATAAGGTGTTTTCCAGATCGCATCATGTGTAGGTACTGGGATAAGATACTTGATAATTCCAACATGCATTACTGCAAATTCCAAGAGCCCCAATGGCAATCCAGTATACCAAGGCAAAACAGCCAGTGTTTTCACAAACAAACCGAGCACAACAAAAGGAAGGATAAACACAATACTATTAAGAGTACGCTGATACAAAAAAAAGAGTCAGTTATTTCCCTTTGTATCTGCCGCTTGTACCTTGGATTCAAAGTATTTACTACCTTTTTGATCGGTTTTCCTTTAGAACCTGGGTAAGTACCTATACGTGGTGCTTGCGAGGGATTATCTTGTGCTCCAACATCGAACTCGAGGACGGCTCTGTCCCAGACAGATTCTAGTTTTCGTTCCTGGACAAAATCGTAGGCAGTCTTGCCAATCTTTTCTCGGGCATTGTGATCTGCACCATATTCGAGCATCTTTCGAATACACATCTTATTGCCCTGGACGACAGCCCAATGCAATGGGGTAAGATGTGAATCATCGATAGCGGATACATTTGCACCAAACCGTAAAAGAAGATCAACTGTCAAGGCATGCCCTTGATAAGCGGCCCACATCAAGGGAGTGTGTCCACCCACGCTATCTATAGAGTCAATATCGACACCTATAAGTAGTAAATAGAGCACAAGCATGGCATGTGAAGAGTTGACGGCCAAGTGAAGCACGCCATATCCTTGTGCATCTCTGAGAGTGAGATCTGCACCCTCTTTTATTAGACAATGTACTGCTATCAGGGATCCTTTTCTGCAAATAATGGTAATAGCAGCAGCAATAATAATAATAATAATAATAATAATAATAATAATAATAATATGAGCATAAATCTTTGTTCAATTGGTCAAAAAATTACCTTGCTGCCCAGTGCAATGGCGTGGCTTTCATTTCTCCTGCAAGGGCATCCACGTGGGCCCCTCTGTCGATCAAATATTTGACGCACACATGGTAATTGCCGTTAGCAGCGTAATGGAGTGCAGTAGCACCTTGTTCATCTACATCTGTCACTGTTGCCTTGCCGCTATCGAGAATATGGCATATTGTCTGGAATGAGCCCATTGCCGATGCCTCAAATAGGGTAGTTTCTACTCAAATGACTAGCATGAGCATTAAAGAAGAATTTGAGTATGGGGAAGGGGGAGGGGAAGGGGAAAAAAGGAGTTGTACCTTTCGGTTCGGAGACGATGGCCGCCTCTACATTCTCTTGAGAAAGCCCAAATGTCGCCTGACTTTGCTTGGGCTGAATTCCATGGGACTGAAAGGCTGACGCTGTCACCAAAACGTCTTCGTTTTGCAGTGGTGGGTCGCCAATGGACATTAGATCAACAACAGTACTTCTGGAGGTTGCCTTTTCGAAACAAAGTCCGCTTTCATGAGCTTGGCGTGTGACCGTGGATGACTTGCATCTCTTTTTGGCTCTTGAGCGGGGAAATAGCCAATCAAACGAAGAATAACTGTAGGTCGGGGATTATAGTATGTAGTTTCCAACTGGCTGGACTGCTGGACCTATCAAAAGCTTCCAAGGGTAATGCTAAGAGCGAAATTCATACTCAGCTATGCTTATAAAAAAGAGAGCTTTCTGGCAAATTTGTCGCTTCTTAACAGAGACCCATTTAGCAGACGTAACTTGCACTATCTTTGTCTTTATTTTGACTCCCCACTAGGGGTTTCGATTGAGAGGCTGAGATTTTGCCGTGTTACAATCTTGCCACTCTGGTTTCTAAAATTACAGTTATCTGTGCTCGATAGACAACGGATCAGGAGGCCTTTCCTTGTGTTTGTCTAATGATTTTTCCGTTCACAATACGAGCTACAAATCACCTTTATTTTTTACATATACAGAGTGTTTCGAAATTATTCACGCACTTTTTGAAAAAAATTCAAGCATTAATAAAATAAAAATTCAAGCACAAAATGAAGCACATTAAAATTTATTAAATGGGTTTTCTGTTTAAGCAATCATCAAATTTCCCTACTGAATATCTACAAAAGCCTTGCAAGTCACTGGTGAGCACATTATTGCAAGCTTCCCTAATTTTGGAAGATAATGTCTCTTCCTTCAAAAGTGCTTCTCTCTTTACTTTACTTTTGCATACTGACCAAAATTGCTCAATGGGATTAAGTTCAGGTGAGTAAGGCGGAAGGTAAACGCATCCATAGCCATGGGACTCAATGTACTTTCTGATATCAACGTGGTTGTGAATGGGACAGTTGTCCATTATCAGATAATGACCTCTGAACTCTTCGTATTGATTCATTATTTGTATGGTCTCAGCTACAAAGTTAAAATAGTGTCCAGTTACCGTCCCACCTTTCCCTTTCTCTTTCTCCGGTTTTTTTATAGCTCCACCTGGTCCTTTTCTCTTCTTTGAATTTGAGGCAACAACAACTTTAGAAACCTTCAATTGCACGTTAATTACACCCAAGGGTGATATTGCCCCTATGGTAGTATGAGATGTCGCTCTCGTTTTGGGAATTTCCACTATTGGAGTCTCGCCCACTGGTGCCCATGCCATACTACGTTTCATGTCGATGTTGAAGCCCGACTCATTGATGAAAACACAATCGGTTATGTAATCTATATCAGTCTTCAGAAGTTCGGTAACCCATTGAAATCTAGCCTCTATCTTTGTATCACTGTTGCGCTCTGCAGGTCGGAAAAGAGCTCTCTTCACTGACATACCACAGTGAGCGGCGACGTATTTATAAAGGGAAGATCTCGATATGTCTAAGTTTGTGAACTGACTAGTAAGTCCATCCATCATCTCATCCAAAACAATACCTGGCTTTTGGTCAATAAGGTTTATGAGATATTTCTTTTGTTCTGAGTTTATTGTCAAAGGTCTTCCAACTGGTCTTTCATTTCCTGGTTTTCTCAAGTATAGATCTTCTCCACTCTCTATGCTTTTTTGATCTTTCGTATACCATGTTTGAGCAGTACATGGGGGTATTTTCAATTCTTTGGCAGCTCCACGAATTGACATATTCTTCTCAAATACAAGAAAATAAAACTTCTTCATATCTTCTTTCTTATATTTTCAGTATGTTCTCTCCGTCTTCTTCTCAGGTTTCGCTTCCGACTTGGAACTTGTCTCTTCGACTTTGTTCGCTTTTTTTGGTTTCTCGGGCGGTTTGAGATCCAAGTAAGAAGAGAAAGTGGTTATTGAGGTCAAGGGGTAATTCTCATTGTCAACCTCCATCTGGTATTCGATAACTTCGTTGCCATTTTCATCAGTTAACTTCCCACTGCCATCGTCAAAATAAATTGTGGCCATCTGAAAGTAACTAAGAATTCTTAGGAAAATAAAAGTGAAGTAAACGTAATAACGTTGTGCGCGATTTTTGTTTTATTAATGCTTGAAGCTTTTTTTTAGTTAGTGCTTTTAGTGCTTGATTTTTATTTTTTCAACTGCTTGAACAACATAAGACCAACCTGGACCAACCTTTTCTTAAAATCACTGTGTATGGCTTTCAAAATTTATTTTCTCTTGAATTCTTATAAATTGTCATGGATGCAAACATTTGTAAAGGCAAAATAACAAGGGACATGGCCCTCTGCATTTTTTTGCCAGGAATATAGCGAAGACAATGCAAAAATTTTGCCTAAAAAACTTGAAACCATGAAAGTTTTAGAGATTTGCTATACAAATGGCACGAATATACAGTACCCCTTTAACAATCTTGTTTTTGAAAACAAACTCCAGTCAATAGAGAAGTTCGTGGAGTCACTTTTTCAAAGAAAATTTCCTTTTTAAATCAAACTCAGTGATTTAAATAAGAAAATAATGTAACAATACAAAAATAATTTTGAAAAAGTTTTTGAAATTTTCAGATTTTCTGAAAAAGTGAGAGAACTTTTTCAACCTCTAATATCTTTCTATTTTTTATTCTAAACTAACGTTATGAAAATAGTAGAAATATACGGAACAATGTAAAGTTTTGAATATAAATCAGCAACGATATAGACAAGATCATTTTACACATTTTTGTTCACGTTTATCAACTTATCTATTTAATAAAATTTATCTAAGCAAAGCTAGCTATAGAAGCCTTAATGAGAAATTTAATATAAAGCTATTTTATCATCAAAAGAAACAAATTTTTTGAAAAAGTTTAAATCCTCGAAAGAGTTACCCTATTTGGCTTTGTGTTCTGTACAACTTTGAAAAAGTTATTCCACGAACTTCTCTAATGAATCAAAAATGGGCATAAATCCATACACTGTAGAAAAAAAGTTGCCGTAAATTCCAAAAAACGGCAACTTTCAATAAAAAACCTGCAACTTTGTTTAAACTCCTACAAACCTACCAAATATAGGGCATTTTGAGCTCTTTTTTGTTTTTTGAGATTTAATTCAAATATATTTTTTGGATTTTTAATTCAGAAAGCCATTTTAGGGGAATATCGTACGCTAAACTGCTTACAGATTACGAGGTTGAGTAAAGGGACAAACATGGCCTACAAGATTACTTATATTTTTAATCTAAACTTTAAGAAGTCTTTGCCACTAAAAAGGAATGACTGTGATTGCTTTTTAATGCAATATTTTTTTTTTTATTCTGTAAAGTCTTTTTCTTATTTCTCTTTATTTCTTTTTTTTTTCACAAGGTCTAAATTTATTAAAAGTCTCTAAAAGGAACACACTTAATAACTATGAAGGCTAGTATTAATAAAATACGAATCAGCAAAGTTGACAAAAGAAAGCAATCTGAGAAGAATTGACAGAAAAATATCTGCATCAAGTACAATTTGGTTGTCAAGATTGCTCGCATGCTCATTAGAAATCTCGGTAGATTTACAGAATTGCAAGGAATCTATCTTCTTGTTTTTCAAAAGTATGGATCAGACATGACAATGTTAACACAAAGCAGGTTTATACTCTTTGTTAAAAAGAATTAATTAAGCAATATACATACCTTCATCAATATCATAGTATCTAGACAATAGCCTTTTTTTTAGATAAAAAAATGTGAAAAGTATTATATAAAAATAGATATATGTATATTATTTAGCAACTTTATAGCTTAAACTGTTACTAAATATTATAAAAAATAGTACTTCTTCTTTCCATACTTTTTTATATTCAACTTGTATTATTTTAATCAATAAAAACTATAAAAGTCCAATATAAAACTGTGTATTTGTTGAGCCAATTATGAGAATAGAGATACCTAAAAAAAAAAGGTATAGACTTGCCATATTTAGAATATTTGATTGGATTAGATTCAAAAATAATCTGAAATTTCATAAATCATATTTGACATAATCTGAAATCTCATAAATAGTATCTGCCCAAAAGTAAGGCTTACGGGTTAATGTCTGGCATGTTATTGGCTTAGAAGAAAGTTGCAGGTTGGCAACTTTGTTGCAGGTTCGGGGTTTAAAAGCTGCCATTTCCTACAGTGCAGGTTGGTCCAGGTTGGTCTTATGTTGTTCAAGCAGTTGAAAAAATAAAAATCAAGCACTAAAAGCACTAACTAAAAAAAGCGAACAAAGTCGAAGAGACAAGTTCCAAGTCGGAAGCGAAACCTGAGAAGAAGACGGAGAGAACATACTGAAAATATAAGAAAGAAGATATGAAGAAGTTTTATTTTCTTGTATTTGAGAAGAATATGTCAATTCGTGGAGCTGCCAAAGAATTGAAAATACCCCCATGTACTGCTCAAACATGGTATACGAAAGATCAAAAAAGCATAGAGAGTGGAGAAGATCTATACTTGAGAAAACCAGGAAATGAAAGACCAGTTGGAAGACCTTTGACAATAAACTCAGAACAAAAGAAATATCTCATAAACCTTATTGACCAAAAGCCAGGTATTGTTTTGGATGAGATGATGGATGGACTTACTAGTCAGTTCACAAACTTAGACATATCGAGATCTTCCCTTTATAAATACGTCGCCGCTCACTGTGGTATGTCAGTGAAGAGAGCTCTTTTCCGACCTGCAGAGCGCAACAGTGATACAAAGATAGAGGCTAGATTTCAATGGGTTACCGAACTTCTGAAGACTGATATAGATTACATAACCGATTGTGTTTTCATCAATGAGTCGGGCTTCAACATCGACATGAAACGTAGTATGGCATGGGCACCAGTGGGCGAGACTCCAATAGTGGAAATTCCCAAAACGAGAGCGACATCTCATACTACCATAGGGGCAATATCACCCTTGGGTGTAATTAACGTGCAATTGAAGGTTTCTAAAGTTGTTGTTGCCTCAAATTCAAAGAAGAGAAAAGGACCAGGTGGAGCTATAAAAAAACCGGAGAAAGAGAAAGGGAAAGGTGGGACGGTAACTGGACACTATTTTAACTTTGTAGCTGAGACCATACAAATAATGAATCAATACGAAGAGTTCAGAGGTCATTATCTGATAATGGACAACTGTCCCATTCACAACCACGTTGATATCAGAAAGTACATTGAGTCCCATGGCTATGGATGCGTTTACCTTCCGCCTTACTCACCTGAACTTAATCCCATTGAGCAATTTTGGTCAGTATGCAAAAGTAAAGTAAAGAGAGAAGCACTTTTGAAGGAAGAGACATTATCTTCCAAAATTAGGGAAGCTTGCAATAATGTGCTCACCAGTGACTTGCAAGGCTTTTGTAGATATTCAGTAGGGAAATTTGATGATTGCTTAAACAGAAAACCCATTTAATAAATTTTAATGTGCTTCATTTTGTGCTTGAATTTTTATTTTATTAGAGAACCCGTTGGGATGTGATATTTTCAAAGACTGCTAAAAAAGAATTATTAGTGAAACCCAGTCAAAAAAAAGAAAAACTCAACCACAGTTGATGAAAACATAAGTACTGTGACAAACATAAGAGAGATACATCTTAATAAACTTGGCTTTCCAAGACTTTTTCTCTTAAGTAGATATATAGAGACGACTCTTGACTATATTATGTTTATGTTTGAAGGTAAAGAAACGAGCTCAATTCTTAATAAAAACTTGGTGATGAAATGGAGTGAAAAACTAGAAAACCCCCAATTTTTCACTCCATTTCATCACTAAATGGCCTCCTTCAGTAAAATTTTACATCTTTTCATTGGAATTTCAATAGCCGCGTAAAGCAAAAGTGAGTGAAAATTCTAAATTTTTACTCGACAACGGGTTCTCTATTAATGCTTGAATTTTTTTCAAAAAGTGCGTGAATAATTTCGAAACACCCTGTGCGTAATATATGTGTTTAATTATTTATATTATAAGGCAGTGAAATAAACTAAAAATGAATGAAAATCAAATGTCAAAAGGAAAGAGAATATATATGTTTGTATGTATATTCTTTTATTATGTTCCTTGTTGAGACACAAATAAGCGAGACTTATTAAGCATATATTGATATGCCTGTTTAGTGTTCTAGTAATCAAGGTACATTAATGTTTAGAAAATAATTAAAGAAACTCTTATTAATATAGCAGTAAGCTGTAGCTTAGAAAAGTGTGTAAATTTGCTCGGGTGAGAAATGGTTCTTTTGAACGGAAGACGGAAGAGTAAATTCACATGCAACACTGTCAACTGCAAAAGAGTGATGTCACTGAGTGGATCATTGGGTCCTAATTAAAGCTACACTGCAAGTTTAATCGCCCCCAAGCCTAAAACATCTCTCCTCTTCTCCCTCGCCTCACCTCACCTCACTTCAGTTTAACTAAACTTAGCTCAACTTAACTCAACTTAACTCTTCCTCTTTCCCATTTTATTCAACCCCCTTTTTTTTTATATTTTTTTAAAGAAAAAAAAGAAGACACAAAGATAATCTCAGACACATATATCTTTGAACATATTCTTCTTTTCTCTCTTTTTCTCTTTCTCTTAAAAGCAACCAAACGACTGAACTTCTTTTAGTAAAAATAATAATAATAATAGGATTAAGTGAGTTAAATACAGGAATATACCAAAAATATATGGTTGCTGACAAAGTTGTCATAGACCAACCATGGACAGTGTTGTACCTGACAATAGCGTGAGCACCGCACAGCCCTCAAACCCAGTCTCAAAGAACAGCACAACTTCTAATGCCATCATTGAAAGTTGGGATGAGGACATTGAACCTATCTCGCGTCTCCAGATTGTGGATGAAGACCAAAAGTTTACGTAAGACACCTTTGTGACTGACAACTTTAAAAAATGAGATGGCAGACCAAGAAGCTTATTATTATGTGCTCTGGTGTACTTTAGAGAGAACCTTCCTGAATATATGGGCAAATGGGGTTTGGCAGAAGCTGGATTTAACTACAATGTTGTAGCTGTGTTTGGTTCCCAGAGTACCGGCAAAAGTAAGTTACAGGAGAATACATCCAGGTTTATGTCTACCAAGAAAGAAAGAAAAAATACGCATGATTGTGGGTATTATTTTACAACCTAAAACTATCTTTGTTTGGCCCTTTCTTCGATTATCATCAACAGGTACACTTCTTAATAAGCTGTTCGGAACCGGGTTTGATGTTATGGACGAGACCCAGCGTAGTCAGACCACAAAGGGTATTTGGATCTCGCGTGGTCGAGGCATGCATGTTGTGGTCATGGATGTGGAAGGAACTGACGGAAGAGAGCGCGGTGAGGACCAAGATTTTGAACGCAAATCTGCTCTCTTCTCCATGGCTACCAGCGAAGTCATCATTCTTAATCTGTGGGAGCACCAAGTCGGTCTCTATCACGGTGCCAACATGGGTCTCCTCAAGACTGTCTTTGAAGTTAATCTGCAACTTTTCCAAAACCAAAAGGGGTAAGCTGCGTCTTTGTGTAATGTGTGTACTGAAAAACACTAAAAGCAACAAACATTTGCGCGCATGTATGTTTGTGTGTGTGTATGTGTGTGAACAAAAACAGCAAGGAAAAAACCCTCATTTTGATCGTTATCCGTGACCATGTCGGTGCTACCCCTTTAGAGAACCTTTCCAAGACTCTCCAAGCAGATCTTGAGAAGATCTGGGCTGGTGTGTCAAAGGTAAGTTTGTGTGTCTTTTTTTGTTTGGTTCCCAGAATCAAAAGGCTGTATTTAACTGAACCCCGTCAATTTTTTTTTTTTTTTATCTTTGTAGCCCGAGGGCCTTGAAGATTGCAAGATCCATGACTATTTTGATTTTATGTACACCGGTCTTCCTCACAAGGTTCTCCTTCCGGAAAAGTTTGATGAAGAAGTTGCCAAGCTTCGTACAAGGTATATATATATATATAATAATAATAATAATAATAATAATTATCCAAACTATAAAAATCATCCGTTTCTGGGGTAACATTTATTGATGATCAAACCTGTATGCAGATTCAATGACCCTAAAGACCCCAATTACGTTTTCCGTCCCCAATATCACAAGCGTATTCCAGCAGATGGCTACCACATATATGCTTCTGGTATTTGGGACACGATTCTCACCAACAAGGATCTTGATCTCCCCACTCAGCAAGAACTCCTGGCTCAGTACAGATGTGACGAAATCTCAAATGTAAAATGGAAACAAGGAGGCAAACGTCTAAAAAAACACAAACTAATACTGATATCTCGGAAAACAAGGCTGCCTATGAGGTTTTCTTACAACAAATCGCTCCTTTCAGATCCCCTATTGTCGAAAAAGGACAAACTATCCCAGAGCTTGGCGAACAGTTGTTAAGTATCCGTAGCGAAGCGTTGCAGACTTTTGATAAGAATGCTTCACGCTACCATCAAGGCGTCTATCAGAAGAAGCGAGCTGACATGCTCACAAAACTCAACACCCAACTTAATGTACTTTATGTTGGACAACTTAAGAATCTCCACAAGAAGGCGATCACAATGTTTGAGGAGAGGCTCAAGGTAACTAAAAGAGAGAGAACGAGAGAGAGAAGACGGGCTAGTGGAATGCTTAGTTACTTGTTTATGTACATATTCCAGCATTCGCTAATAATGATTGGTACTAATATAGACCGAGCTAAAGAAACCTTCATACAACTTTGCAGAGGTTGTTGAAGCTGGCTTAAAAGAATCAAACGAGTACTTCTTGAAGGGTGCTAAAGGTACGAAAATTTACAGGATGCAAAAAAAGGGGTAAAAAACTCAATATTATATTTAATACTAGAAATCATTTTACCCGACACCGATTGGTCCTACAGTCATGAACACAGTCTTTTGGAAGAAGAATTTGGAGAGGTCTCTAGTCGTGCTCGTTCAGAAGAATTCAGAAAGATGAGCAAAGCCTTGTCGGTAAGTCCTATTACATAAAAAAATGCCTATGAATTTTGGGTTTCACGTGGGCTTTGAGCTTATTATATATTGTTTGGGCATTTTCTCATGGTCACGTACCTTTATTTTGAATTACGTGTATCAATTTATATACAGAAACAAGTAGAGACTGAGCTGTCTGAGCCAGTATCACTTGCGCTCAACAACCCTAAACCCGGGATGTGGCAAAATATTATCGATGCTTACAAGAAGACAGTCGATAGTGGAGAAAAGGTTTTGACCCAAAAGGCCAAGAGTAAGTATTGTCATTACTACTGCTACTGCTATTACTATTATTGTTATTATTTTGGCTGATTTTTTTTGAAACTCACAATTCTGCATACAACTAGGTTTCAACTCGTCTAAAGAAGAGCTTGATGATTCTCGTGCCAATTTAAAACAGCAGGCGTGGGTTGTGTTGCGTAAAAAGGTTGACGAGGAATTGGCTGATAGTATGATATTGCTCAAACTACGAAACAGGTAAAACATTTATTATTATTATTTAGATATAATATGCGTCGAGAGTGTTAGTACTAAACACTTTATCAGTTTTGAGGAGAAGTTTAGATACGACGAGCATGGTCTTCCTCGTGTCTGGAAGCCTTCTGATGATATCGATTTACATTTTAAGCGTGCAAGAGATGCTGTAAGTTAAATAAATGTTATTTGGATGTATACATGTATACATGTATACATGTATTTATGTATTTATGTAACATGCAACTGTAATAGGCTCTGGATCTTATCCCTCTTTTTGCAAAAATTGAATTGGAAGACGGGTCCACATTCAAATTGGAATCCACAGAGGTATATGGCACTCACGTCGCGTATTTGGGAATATACTAACCAAAGCACTATATACATTCGATCGTAGGACTTTGATTACCAACAATCATTGATTGTCCTTAGTGAAGCCAAGCAGATTGATATATCCAACCGCTTTAAGCGTGAATCTGATCCTTTTTACCTGGAAGCCAAGCGTTCTGTGGTGGCTACGACTGCCAAGATACCCATGTGGCTTATTGTTGTCATGATTGCTTTGGGCTGGAACGAGTTTATGACCATCATCAAAAGCCCTATCTACCTGGTGTTGTTTGTTATGTGTGTTGCTGGTGGCTACGTTGTATATGCTCTCAACTTGTGGGGTCCTCTTGAACGCATTATATCTGCAGTTGTGGGAGAGGCGACGAGGATGGCCAAAGAGCGTGTAGCGGAGGGAGTGGAGAAGGTGCGAGAACAGACAGATGACAAGAAGTTAACACCTGTAAAGGCATAGATGAAAACATAAATTGTGGAAAGATGGACCTAAACAGCACAAATGATACCAATCTCTTTCACTTTATACATAACAAATAAAGAATATAGTGTTTTATTTATTCCACTTATTACAACAACAACAAAAAATTGATCGTGTAAAGAAGTCTTTGCTAACTAAAAAAAAATTCAAGGCTATATTTTATTGAGTTAAAACAAATTGTCTGATATATAAATAAGTAATTTTATATGACTTTTGATGCAGTGAAAATCAAGCCATTATAAACCTTTTCTTTAAAAAAATAGCTTAGATAGTAAATAATAAAAAGGGAGAGATTAATCTTTCGATTACACAAAGTACTTTTTTGGGAAGTAGAAGGAGTATTGAGGCTTCATAGTAATCGTTGCTTAGATACACATAAAATACAAATCATTCCATTGAACTTTTTATATATTTGTGTTTATGGATTGTTGTTGGAATACGAATAAAAGTCTTATTAAATATAAAGATAATAAATGCAAATAAAAAAATTAATGGCTTAGTAAGTGTATATGTGTGATGTACAACACCAGTCACACCACTTAAAAAACTAATCGCCTTTATTTGATTTTAGCTTTTAGTTTGGCTTTTATTTTCATTTTTTTAATATATAAAAAATAGTGTAAAGTTAAGAATGAAATGTCGATGATATGGTTTGGCCGACAGTAATTGCCACGTAGTAGCTACATTTAGGCACAGGAATATATCAAAGCGACCCTCCTAAGAATCAAACCTTCCTCCGAACACCAGTGCAAGCACCTTAGCTCAAGGATTCCAGAGAGACTCTACGTTGGAGACCCGTTATTCGTACTTAACATTCGCTTGCGAATATACACAGATTAGTTGTAGGTCATCCCTCGCTTCCGCCCTATAGCAATCCGAAGATTACGCCAGGGTTTCCACTGTGGAATTCCTTCTGTGCCCACTAAAAGGCGAATGAGAAAGTGTAAGGAAAAAAGAGAGGGCGCACCCAGACCCTCATTTTATATCTTTTTTTCTCTTTCTCTCTCTTTCTTCCCTGGCCTATTAGCTGTCGTATAAATTAAATCTCAGAATTAGTACTCCCAAAAAAAATTAATCCATATTTTTTGGGACTGCTGTGACTTTTTGTTTTCACTACCAGATATTCCGTCCCATTCTGTGATTTTCTGAAAGTGACACAAGATACTATGGATGGGAGGAAATAAGTCATGGAAAAGCATTTGCATACTTGATATCTTTGATCCGGAAAAAAGAATAGGATTTAAAAGATATTAAGATATAGTAATTTATTAATTTATGAATTTATTATACAAAGTTGGGATATAATGTGTACGATGGCTATATGATAAGTTAAGGTTAATTGGCATGCTTTTCGTTCTTTGTTTTTTGATCCATAGAATCATTGGAACGATCAAAGCTGGAAAAAGAGGTTGAATCTAAAGGTTTTCCACAACCAAATATCTCGTCGATTTCTTCCAAGGACTTGCCCTTTGTCTCAACAAAAGTAAAGTAGACTACAGGCCGAGTACGAATTAGTGACAAGTTAATATAAAAACTAAAATAAAATCTTACCGACTACCAAAGCAACTAAACACCAGGCAGCGTAAAAGAGATAAGTGGCCCAACCAATCTTCTCAAGAAGAGGAGGGGTCCAAAGACCAACCGCAAAATTACACAACTAAATAATTGAATAAAGAAATATTTAATAAAAGCTATATATATATAAATATTGTATATATATATATATATATGCTTACCCAGTTTGATGAAACAGCAAGAGACATACCCTTGGCTCTTGTGCGCATAGGAAAGATTTCGGCAGGGTCTAAATTATAGAATATAAATATGCGTGTAGATTAAAGAGTAAAATCAACTTACAGAGCCAGTCAAGACATGCCCAAGTTACGCCAAAAGTAAACACATAAATCATAGTGAATACAATCACAAGGATAGCAGATGTGAGACCAAGGGAGACCTTGTTGAATACAGCCATCAGGATCAGCCAGACAATCATAGTCAGACTTCCTCCCATAAACAAAGGACGACGACCGGCTTTGTCAACCAGAACAGCAGCAACAAGTGCACCAACAAAATAAACAAGGGCCGTAAAACCAGCAAAGAGAATAGTAATGTTTCCCTTTCCTAGGACAGTTTCGTACATTTTTGGTGCATAGTACTAAGAATAAAAAAAAAATATTAGCCACAATTTATACAAGTTAATATGATAAATAGAATTTAGTAAACTTACAGTGACAATGTTGATGCCCTGAAGTTGGCCAAAGGCTTGAACAGCAATAGCTATAAAAGAACGGCGTTTATGAACAGTGAGCATTTCCAGCCAGCTAGCCTCTCCAAGAGTGCGTTCATAAGTAACAGCCTCAATGATATCGTTATGTTCTCTGCAAACGGTTGGGTCAGTCATAGGCTTTCCATGGAGATTTGCCAGAACTTGCAGGGCAGCGTCGTTTTTTTCCTTGGTAACCAAGAAGCGAGGAGACTCAGGGAGAGCCAGACAGCCAGCAGCGAGGATGACTGCAAACACACATTGTAGGAGAAGTGGGCCACGGAAAGACCATTCGCTTTGAAGAAAGGAAAAACCGTAATCGATAAAGGCTAGACGAATGGTCGTTAGATAAATTTAAGATTGAATACAATAGGCTGTTTAACTTGTACCTGATGACATATAACCGAACATGTTCACAGACATGCCCAAGACGGTGACACGACCTCTCTAAATAAGTTTTTGGTTCTTTAGTTTTTCTTTTTTTTTAAAAAAAAAGTGATAGGTAATAAATAAATAAAGAAAAATAAGGTGGGTGAATATTCTTACATTATGGGCACGACTGAGTTCAGCAGTGTAAACAGGTAGGACAGTACTGAGAAAACCGATACCAAAGCCAGCAATCAGTCGACCAAACATTAACTCCACCATTTTACTAGCTGCTGTCTGGAGAACACCACCGACAATGAAAATCAACGATCCGACCATAATTGTCCATTTACGGCCGTATGTATCCATCACCCAACTTGCGGGGTAGGCAGTAAACCAAGCACCGAGTTCAAAGATGGCTACCACTAGGCCTTGCATTGTCGCATTTGGCTGGTTAAATATTGCGAGCCAGCTTTCATTGACCAAGATTCCAGACATGACTCCCTGATCATCTTTGATCCAGAAATTGAAAGCATAATATAAGAGTCTGATGGGTCAATAGAAAACCATATATTATACATACATCCAAAAAGAAATTGTCCCAGCGAAGCAAAGCATGCAACTGAGTAAAGAAGAGTAGCTCCTTGTATTTTGCCCATGTTATTATTAGAAGAAGAAGAAGATGTATAGACTTTGAAAGATTGTGTTCAGCACCTTATATATATATATGTATGTATGTATTTTTTGAAGGAGATCTAACGTCAGACAGATGACAATTCCAGTTCTTTCTCACACTTCAGAATGTGTACAAAAGTACGGGGTACCATCAAAAAAATAACAATACAGCATGAACATATCGAATGGGAAAGTGGGGTTGACATAATCATCTACAAAGTCAACTCCCAGCCGATCTCATAGTTAAGCTCCTTTTTCGTAAGTAGATTCCATAAAAGGCAATCCAAAGATAAAACCTCATTTGTAAAACTTCCTCACGTCCGAACCCGCTTTCACCATCCATTAATGTAAATAGCTATTTATCAGATCCAAAACCTATACTAGACCATAATAAACTACCTTTGGCCAGCCCATTAATTTAAATCTATTATATAGCTTCACGACAATAAATCAATAATTGTATGTTTACTGCGTGCGTGTGTGTGTGTTTATGTGTTTATGTATGTGTACAAAGTTGTATAAATCATCCGCTCTCTTTCTTCACGCCATGGTTTGGACTCTGCTGGGATTTGGCCAGATTAACTGCCTGGACTTTACTTTGATGACTGGCAGGAATATTGGGTTTTCTGAGGGTCCTGATGTCGTCTGATGCAAAGCCAGGCACACGAATGTTCCAATTTCGTTCTATATTTTAACAAACAGAAATGTATATGTATATACGTCCCTCATCAATATCCTTTCTAAGAAAATTTCCTTCCTATCTATTTTAATTCTCCTTGATCTACCTAAATGAAGCTGAAGGTCTTTTACTTCCAATGTGTCTGTTTTACGATGCTTAGCTAGCCGGCATGCGAATGAAGTCACAGATTCAATAAACTCATCAGCAATTTCCAATAAGATCTGCATCAAATGCACACAGATAGAAAGATATAGATATATAAATTTAATATGTAAATTTGGGTATATTTGTGAGCACAATGGACTTACATCCTCTACTTCAGGTTCAAGTCGTTCATCAGGATCAATCTGACCTACTAATTCCTGAATCTTACGCTTGGCCAGCACGCGTGTTCCACTATCCATATCAAGAGTAGCAGTAGACGATTTTTGTGCCATGGTGGCAGTAGTGGAAGTAAAAGGAGTTGATGAAGTAGAGCCAACGTTGCTACCCCCACTTCCACTGTTACCAACACCCGAGGGGTTGTTTGTTCCAGTGTTATTAGCAGTAGTAGGTACTGTTGATGTTACAGAGCCAGAAGTAACTGTAGCAGGAAAGGTGAACATGCCTTTGTTTGCTCCAGGTGTCGAGGGTTGCTTTGCGGCTGCAAGAGCTGATGCGAGAATCGGATTCGGTGTGTTGGCGAGAGAGTTTGATGGAGTCATTTGTCTCGGGGATGAGGCAGCGGTTGTTTGAGGTGAGGAGGGTACGGATCCGATTTTGTTGAGCATTTGCTGCTGCTGGGCCACATTGCCTACAAAAACAACAGTGGGTTTACATCATGCTACCGGTCTCTATCCGATCTCATGATCTTACGCAATTGTGTATTGACATATACTGGTTGCTGCTGTTGGTTGTATGCAGGCGAGCCAGGTGCAGACGACATGCTCATTCCATCAACCATTGAGGATGTGGAAGGAGATGTTGTTCCTGCACCGGCTGGTGAAGGCATTCCATGTTGTTGGGCTAGTACGCGTTGCTGCATGTTCTGTACTGCCAACTGTGGTGTGAGATTGTTGAGAAATGCTTGATAGATTGTAACGCGTGCTTGGAGACTTTGCTCTTGTAACCGATAGCGCTCTTTTTCTTCATGTGAAATGTCATTACGCTCGATTTGTTGGCGTATAGCTACGAGGTTGCTGTTATATAATTCGACCGCCTTTTGGTATTCCTGCATAATCTGAGGCGTCTGTTGCATTTGCTGCATCAGGTTGGGTGGAACGTTTGATGCCATGACGAACCAAGAAAACAAAGAAGAGAGCGAGCTGTTTGAAGACAGCGCCACCAGAGGTGAGGGGGAGGAGGAGGAATGGTGCCGGTGACTGTTTAAGTTTTTGGGAAATCATTAGGCAGCAACCTATTGTTGTGGATTGCCACAGACGCATGAACGAGTCAAAATACAATAAAATAAAAATAAAATTATAAGCTATTGGTCCAGTTAGCTTCAACATTCTATCAATGCGGTTAATTGGAAGCCAAATGTATTGAAACTTCTTTATTATAAATGCAGGACTTTGTGAGTATAAAACATTGAATTTAAACTAGACATAAGCCAACTGTTTTGTTGTATCATAATGGCATGTACACTATATGTGTATATTAATTTAAAGATATATATGTATATATATTAAAATGTATTGTTATTATATTATTAATAAATAAAGTACATGATAATATAGGGGAAGTTGGAAATATACTTTGTTTAAAGCTGTACGATGTGTAATCCACAAGTATGATGAAAATGAAAAAAAAGAGAAATGAGGGAGGGGGTATGGATGATGTATGGTTTAAAGGGATTGTTTCTTTTGCTTGCGCTGTTTCTCGGTTTTTCTTCGGACAGCACCTTCAAACCCGGCACGTCCTCCTTTTTGCTTCTTTTTATGGTCAGAAGAGGATTTAGGCCCAAAATGGCGTTTTGGATTGTCTTGTTTTGGATGAGGTAGAATCTCTTTAGTGGAAAAACCATGTTCAACCTTGTGAATATTTTTAAGGGTTTCTTTGGTTAAAGGTAAATCTTTGATGTTGCTATTGGTAGCTAATGGGTCTTTAATGGACGATGTGTCCTTTGTATGAAGAGTGTTTGTAGGAACGCTATTAGATGGCTTGACATCGATTGTAGAATCTTTTGGTGGCTGTGATACCTGTTGTATATTACATAGATATATTATCAAAGAAAGAAAAATAGAGGGTATGATTAGATCAAGTAAGGTGCAATAGACATGCTTATTACAAAGCAAACTTACCGATGAAAGAGTAGTTCTAGTAAGCTGAATTGGTTTGTATAGAAGTGCAAGTGCTCTAGCTTTACTTTTTTCTGCTTTTATTCTCTTCTGATCCTCCTTCCATTTCAATTGTTTAGCCAGCACTTCCTCTCTGCTTCGTGCTTTTGGTGTATCTGATCCGGGTGCATTTCTTTTTTGTCTCAAAGCAACAATTCTTTGATGAAGCTGATTGCGCAGCTCAGTAGTGTCTTTGTTTCGCATAGGCTGCAGAATGTCGGCCTGTACAGCCATCGGCAGGGTCATTGTGTGTTTACAGGCATTGAAGTTTTGATCAAAGGGGTCGAAATCACAACTATTCACGCTGCTAGCCACACTGCTTGTAATACTGCTCGCTACGCTGCTGGCTACAGAAGCTGTATCACAGTCAACGTCGGTGCTCGCGTCGGTTTCTTCTGCCCATAGTTTCTCGGCCTTTGAGCGCTGCTAGAGATGATCAGGACAGGGACAAAAACATTAAAGAGAATGTCCGTACCTTTCTCTTCTTCTGGGCATGTCTCAAGGCGTGCTCGCTCTGTCGCTTCCGCTTGTTGTGCATATATTTGGATTCATTCTGTTCGCAATGAGCAGATGAGATATTAATTTCTCTCGATCAAGTACTAATCTCGGACCACAAGAGGAGCTATCACACAGACACAAAGGTATTGACACCTACATGAGCTTTCTCTTGCTTTACTGTCAAATAGTTTGTGGGTATGAGTTGAAGTAAAGTTTCAAAGGTTCGAGAGTGAGCTGAAAGACGTGCCTATAATAGTAAAAAGTTTAGTTTGATAGAATGCAGAAGAGGTAGGGGGTTTGTTTAATAAAGAGCTTACATTCAGACTGTCCAGCAGCTGTTCATGTACCATATTACAAGTAAAAGAAAATATGTATATGTTAAAATATTAAAAAAAAAAAAGAAAGGGGAAAATGAAATGAAAATGAAAAAAAAAAAGATTTGAACTAAAGCTTTTTTTTGGACAACATTTTAAACTGGCGATTAAAATTAGCACTACTTTAAACACAGAAAAAGGTATTTCGTGATGGTGGATCTAATATGAGTTTCAAATGAACAGAGAAAACAAAACAAGCTCCTACTGTAAGACTGTGGCTTTTTATAATGTTCATATTGAGATATTTGGTTCAATATATAAAAGTCACATAAAACAATGAAATAGTTTAAGTCATTTTTTTTAATTGTTTCATTTTGATTTGTACAAAAATATGAATGGGTTACTGCTACACAAGATCTTCTTTTTTTATATAAAAAGTTTGGATTAAGGCCAAAGGTTTATAATAAGGAGTTGTTACGGAGACACTCTACTTAATGCGCAGGAGTGGTCCTTTTTTTTTTTGGTTTAAAATAATGTCTGTTTTCATGGTCTGCGGTTACTAAGGAATGTGTCAAACCAAAAGAATAACTAACCGTACGTTTCTTTCGTTTATTTAAAACAATATATTTATGCTCATTTACTGCCATAATGGAAACAAATGACATGCTTAATAATCTTCAAGACAGATTGAAGACTTTGTTGTTAGGAGAGAGAATGTATGTGTGTGGTGTCTTATTATTAATGTGTTTCTTTATTTAATGAGGCTGAAACTAATTATATCAGTTGCCTTATATTGGGCAGACAAGATCTTTTAAAACTAAGAGAAGCTTAAATCAATTATTTGTTATATTACTTGGTTCATTTATTCTTTGCATACTAGATAATACTCTTGCACATTTCTCCACCCATTTACATTACTTGTTTATTCTTTTCGCGTATTTTTTTATCCATAAGCTACATAATTATGGGTGTATTCTCACATTTCAATCAATAATAAAACACATACAAAAGTCAATTTAAAATATGTTTAAATTATTACTTCTTTGATTCCTTATAGATTTATCAATTTTTTTTTCAAAAGAATAATAAAGAAGAAAAAAATTGCTTTGCTTATCAGCTTGCCTTTTGGAATTACTAAAAAAAAATTACTCTAATGTACAAAGATATCTATCTATCTATCTATCTAAATTTACTATTCATATAAATAATTCACAAAGAACTAACTTATTCGTAATCCGTTTGAATACTTTTGTCGGAATAAAATCACAAGTCATTGTAGCTGTCACATACAAGAGACGCGCGCAAGAAAGTGATCCTTCCAATATTCACATCATCTTACACAATGGCAGACCACGAGAATAAAGACAGAAAAGAACGTAGAGAACGGAAAGAGCGAAAAGAAACGGATGGCCCGAAACCAAAACGATACAATCTCACACCCGCAGAGCTTCAGCAGCAACAATTAGAGAAATTGTTTAAGAAGATCGACAAACCAGTCTTCATCCCAGAACCATCAAGAGAAAAGTCATCCAAAGAACCAAAGGAGTTTGTGCGGAACGTTCCAGGTAAATATAATATATAATTATCTTTCAACTTGGTACTGTATAAAAGGTGTAAAAAAAAAGAGAAGTTACATTGGTATTTGCTAAATCCAGGTTCAAGTGCGGGTGCTGGCAGTGGAGATTTCCATGTGTACAGAGCTCATCGTCGTCGTGAATATGCGCGCCTCAAAGAGATGGACGAAAGAGATGAAAAAGTAATGAAACAAACAAAAAAAATAGTAAAAATATATAAGAAAGAGTTGGAATTGATATTTTTTTTTGGTAGGATAAAGAAGAATATGAATACGAAATGAAAATTGCACAGCTTAAGGCTGAAGACGATGAACGAACGGCCAAGAAGCGAGCAAAGAGACAGAAGAGAAAGCAACCTATAGCCAAGAAGCAGAAAGTAGAATCAGAGCCGACAAAGACACCAAAGGCACCTAAGGCTGTCAAGTTCTCTTCCGTAACTGCAAATACAACCACCACAACCACAATTGCTTCCACTTCCACACAAAACACTACTACCAGCACCAGCACCAACACCAACACCAACACTACCATAAGCCAATTAAATGCAAATGTCACTAATACTGAGGATAAGCAAGAGTCAACAAAATCAACGGATGAAGAGGTTGCAGAGCCAATCGTAGAGTCATCAACTACCAAGACTGCTGATAGTGTAGAGCCCATCGAACAAGAAGATAATGTGGAAGGAAAGATTGAGATCGATTCTGATTCAGAAGCCGAGGATTGAAAAACGAGATAATAAAGACATTGATATGATATTCAAAGAACATTGAGTTTTATATGTATACGAAATAATAATAATAAAAATAATAAAAATAATAATAAAGAGGAATGAAATGTACATTGAGAGAGAGAAAGAGAAGAAAAAAAAAGGCGGGAATGAGGGGTTGAAAGGGAGAGAGGGAAAGAGAGGGAAATGTGACCGGTCTTGTTTGGTATTTAAAGCCAAAATATAAAGACAAATAAAGATATGTTGGGATGGGGGAGATATAGAAAGGATATTTTAGATAAAAGCTTTTTGTCGATTTAATTTTCTTGGTCTCCTTTGTCAAGGGTATTCATCCACTCTTCGGGGATAACTGGGACGACGATCTTTTCTCGTCGAGAATCCTCTGGAGCCCAGCCGCTGATATGCACCATGTGAGCTGTGGTTGGGACAGAGAAGGGAAGCATAAAACGGGAGTCTTTGGTCTCCTTGATTTGTTTATCTTCATCGTCACTAGCTTCTTCTTTTGCAGCAGGCAAAGGCGATGCTGTTGCTGTTGCTGTTGCTGCTGCTGTTGCTGCTGCTGCTGTTTCTGTGGGAATTGATGGTGGCAACGAAGCCGAGGCGGTGATGTTGACACTAGAAATGAGGGATCCGACAAACTGTGACACACTTTCTCTCCGAGATCTCTTGCGTTGAATCGATACGCTTTGTGCTCGAGACATGGACGATCCTCGTTGACGTCCATCGGGGCCCTTTTGGCGAGCCTGTCGGAAACGAACCGTGTCTTCAGCCAGCTGACACACATAATGCTCGATGTTTTCTGGAAGACGAGGTTCGTTCACCTCATAGCGGTAGTTCATCACACACCGCTTAATCTGGAGTGCGTTGAGAGCATCGAACTTTGTGACAGTCTCGATAAAAAGGGTTGGCTCATCGAGTTGGGAGACGCACTGCAGGAGTTGGAGAAGTTGGGTAATGGGGTTGAGGTAGGACATAAGACTGGCAGGCAATCTCTGGTGATTGATCCAATCTTCGACATGCGAGAGATTCATGCGGACCTGCAGCGCCTTGGATCTGCTCAGGCGTTTTTTTGAGGTGAGGATGCGGTTGAACAGTTCGCACGACATGGAGTGTAAGAACTGGCAGAGGACCTGGATGATGATTGTGGGGTGAACTTCATAGAATTGCAGGACCTGGAATGTGGTTGAGAGGATATTTGTGACAGACTGGGGCGAGGTCTGTTCAAGGGCGCTTGAGATGGCGGGGAGACTTGAGTGACGACGCATGGCCATGGCTCCGTTATCAGGCATGATTGCTGAGCGACGGGGGTTTCGTCTGAAAAAACGATGCCAGTCGTCTGTAAAGTCAATGTCTTCCATTCCAGGAATTTCTTCGTAGTCGAGCATTGCTGACTCTAGCAGTTTGGTCATCCGACGGCATGATGCATTCACGATGAAAGTGTAGGTCTCTGAGATGAGTTCCGAAAGGGCCAACTGGTAGTCTGCAGTTTCTGCAACCAAACCAGCATCCTTCTTGAGATAATACAGCAACTGAGAGAAATTTGTGATCCAGAAAGCTAAAACAGACAGGTCGCACGAATGAGCCTGAATGTTGCAACAACAATAGCAATAAATAGAATAATTGGTAAATAGATTATTAGACAAACAGAATATTATTAATATATTTTTCATCAATTTAATCAAATCCAGCTAAATACAAGTAAGCACAAGTACACTATGAAAATAAATTTCTGTGTATATGTGTTTGCCAAACAGAACTTGCCTTTGTGTATTTGCTCATGCGGGCCAGTGCTCCGCTAAGGACATTGTGAAGCAGTTCTGAACTCGAGTAGTAGTGTGCAAAGCGGGCGCTGAGGAATACCACATTTGCCGGCACACACATTTCCTGGCGCTTTTCTCTTGATGCCGGTTCTCCTGAGGTTTGGTCAGATTGGAGAGGAACCTCGATACAGGTGATTACGGTGTCGAGAATGTAGTTGAGATGGTCGGCATTAAAGACAAACATCTGGTGGGGCATGCAACTGTCCCAGTCGAATGTGTTGTAGATATCGTCGCCGTTGTCGTCGTCGTCATTATCGCCGTAGTTATAGTCTTCGTCGCCGTCGTCGCCTTCATCGTCGTCGTCACCTGTACCTCCTGCAAGTGCCATTGCAGTCTCCATCAGATGCTGACGACGATCGGACTCTTCTGCCAGAAAATTGTCTACACCTTCGGCGGTAGAATAGTAGTAAAAGTCGTTGTCGCCGGCATTTGAGGAAGCAGAGGATGAGCTGTAGACTGTACGACCCATGGCACTGGATGTGGAGGACATGCTGTCGCGGGGGTTTGTGTTGAGAATATCGGCAATCTTGTGGTTTTCTGTGTTCACGAAATCAAACGCAGTGCGACCTTTGGCTGTCTTTTGTTGGGAGGAAGCGCCATGGGCTAGCAGAACTTTAACGAGGGCTTCGTGACTGTTGGTTGTAGCCCACATCAGTGCAGACCATCCGACTGTAGGTCAATGAAGTTTTAGAAACAATCTATTGGGTATATATCAACATTTGATAACTTACTGGAGTCTTGGATATCGACTTTTGCTCCTGCTGTCAATAATGCTTGGGCGATCTCTGTCTTTCCAAAACAGGCAGCATAGATCAGAGGAGTGGTGCCGTCCTTGTCGCGGGCGTCGATGTCTATGAGGCTTCTTGTGTTTTCGTCCTGTAAGAGGGCGAGTACTTTTGTGAGATCGCCGCTGGACACAGTGCGGGAAAAGTCCTTTGTGGCCTTTGTCTTCTTGTCTGCTTCTGTGAATTCTTTTTCTTCGAGTTCGTCTTCACCATCGTCGGTTACACTTGGGGTATCAGTTATGTCGGACAAGGGGTTTGACCAACGATTACCAAGCATTTCGCTAAGTTCTTTGTAACTCTCAGCCATGCGCTGGGACATTTCGTCGTAGCTCATGTTCTCGTATTGTTTTCTCACGGTGTCTGTGTCGACTGGGGATTGTATGTGTTTGCTATTGTCGGGTTGTATGGACTGAATATCGAGTTGACTTGAGTCCGACTTGAGGACTGAGAAGGCATGTGTTTCTGGCTCAATCGCAGTGATTTCAGGTATCATCTTGAGTCTGAGTTGAATATGTAAGCAAAGGGGAAATAATAGAAGAATGAAATAAAGCCAATGGTAATAATAGTAACAATAACAATAAGTCTTGAAAAAAAAATAAAAAAAAATAAAGTATAAAGAAAAGAGAGAAGAAGAGAGAAAGAGAGAATAAAATAGATAAAAGAGATAAAGTTTCCTTTTTTCAAGGGGGGTGGAGTTGAGTTTGTTAGCTGCAAAAGGGCGGCTTAATGGGATACACTTTTTTTTTTCTTTTTTCTTTTTGCGTTAAAGAACCGCAATACTGTAGCAAAATAACAAGTTGAAAGGGACACTAAAATATAGAGTACCTGAAAAGGGATAAGTGGAACTATCGGAGTGTATAATACGTGTCTATGTCACTGAGAGATAGGTGAATAAAATAATAATAATAATGACACACAGTAAGCGTATAATATGGGTTGCTTTTACTAGGGGAAGATGTGGGGGAAAAGGTGATGGAGGCGAGTGATGAAAATTTTGCTTGAGTAAGAAAAGAAAGAAAGAAAAAAAAAGGGGGAGTGAAAAACTGGTGTTATTCAGCCTTTAATAATTATTTGATAAATAGATAAATAAATATTTTAGTGATTGACTTTAGGACACATCAAAATCCATTCAACGTTACCTAATCTATTTGGTATTCAGCACTAAAGAGAACAAGACAAGTTAAGGAACGGAGCTGCTTCACCCGGCAAACTGTTATAGAATTGCCATGTGTGTTATACTTCTTGGGTAGATTTTACTCTATTTTATGACAGCGCACGGCCAAAATATGCACAGCTTGTGTATAGATTTAACATCCAATCTGTCCTTATTCCTACTAATAGAATAAGAACCAAGGTCTACAGATGCCCACTATTGTAATACATCTTATAGTATAATAAAACACGAAATACTCAAGACACAAGAAAATAGCGCTTAACCTCTAAAGCCTAAGCTTATCTCGTCTTGGTATAAGATTGTTGGTGTTGTGTTTATACTCTAAGAAGCTTGTATTTATTTGTTTGTTTGTTATCAAACAAGTATATATATATAGGCTTCGATGTTCCGTACCCGAGAAAACAAAAAGGGAACTTCTCTTGCTGCGATTGACCATCTGCTAAAATAATTATCGCTGTTCTGGATACTACTTTAAACTATTAACAATAACGAGTTGTTCGTGAATTGGATCAATAGTGCAGCAAATCTTGTGGGGATCAGCAAACCACCCCCTTTAACCCTCCACACATACACACGCACATAGATACATACAAGGTATCTTTGGCATAGCATGGCATGATCTCCCATGATCAAAGGCTGAGTGCGAAGATGTCGGAAGGGAGGAATTGAGCGGCGCATGGACCTTTGGGTCTCTTAACATCTGTTGGAGAAAGAATGCAGCAAGCAAAAAATGAATGTGTACTACACGGAAGTTGTCTTCCGGTGTGTCAAATACATAAACAACTTGTCCAGGGCAAAAAAATAAAAAAAATAAATAAAGACAGAATGTTATTGAAAACATAATAATGCTTAAATATTCATACCTAAAAAAAAAACCCCCCAAAAACCAAAAACCAAAAACCAAATACTCTATATGATTTGCGTACAATTTAATCATAAAAAATAAATAATGTGAGATAAATAACATCGTAAATTGTTCTTATAACCCAATACGCCCAAAGTTGCGTCAATAGCTTACATGGTCTTGATAATAAATGATAAATGGTGAGTGGTGAATGTTTTTATAGATTAATAAAAAAATGTTCCGTGAGAATTGAAACAGGAATCACAAAAAAAAAAGGTTGTACACTTCACCCAATCACAGTAGTATTGTTACTTTGAAAGTACCAAAAAAGGGACTGAGGTAAGGGTAAAAAGGTGAAAGTTTACACAGCCAAAGATGGAAAGAACCACCGATTGACCTTATCCAACCAAGACACAATGAAGGACTTGTAGGCATAGTTTAAAATATAAAATACAAAATATAAAATAAGAAATAAAAGTAAGAGAATGCTATCACTAATCGGACGCTTTTGGTAGCCCATTGTTTTCTTTCTCTTTAAAGACTAAAATAATATCCTTTTTTAGAAGAAATGTAAAGAAACAGCTCTTCTCAACTACGAACACCCAACACACACTCACATACAGACACCTTTCTCTTCTACCATGCTCTTTACATCCACAACCACACAAGAGAATGACACTCTTTGGTCTGGACATCAACCACAATCCGAGGGTTCGCTGTTTCGAATAAACAGCATGGTACACACTGAAAGAGGATTTCAAACACCTTATTCGGCGCACATCGAACTACCAGAACAACCCATCAAACCACTCCCAAAGGTTCCTATTGAATCCCATCTCCCACAAAGACATCCCATGTTGTTTGATAGCTTTGTCCCGAGATCTGACTATGGCACACTCGAAAGACGCTGGAACTACATCGAAACACCCACCATGCCTCTGTCGCCACAACAGTCCTCTTGTTATGTTGGTCATTATAATCCTCAGGCTACTAATACCTCCCTAAGCCAATCCAATGGTCTCTACAACACTCTTTCACCCTGGAATTCGATACGGCACACCACAATTATAGATACCATGCCGTTGCAACAGCCCACCTTGCCCGCCTGGGTTTCTTGTGATCTAGACCGCACCGAGAGCATGAAGATCGAAGTACCCTCATCAGCTGAAGAATACACGAGCTTACCTTTTGAAGCACAATCCCAAATCCAGCCCATAAAGCTACAGAAACCCTTTGATCCCTCTGTTCACCCCAGCTCGTCAGCAAAACCTAATGAACAAGAAGAAAACCAAGTAGAAGAAGACCAAGAAACACCAAGAGTAAAAGATATCACCAGTGGTCTTACAGCCATTTCTCTTGATCATTCCTCTAATATTCATTTACCCCACACACCCGACAGAGAAAACTGTAAGTTTTAGAGTCAAATCACAGAATTAAATGCATGTATCTATGTATTTATTAATTTCTTTTTTTTTAAAATAATAATAATAATTATTCTTGTTATAGATAAGGATCGTAATGTAAAGGTAATGCGTACCTCCTTGAACATCCCTTCATCTCGAAGTAGCATGGATGTGAATTCAGCCCTCGGACACAGCACTCCTGGTACATCTGTTACGTCTGATCACCTCATTCCGGATAAGTTTACTCCAGACCAGGTCGGAGACGAAGACGACAGCGATAATTTCTCGCAAGAGTCTTCCGATGAAGTCATTTACGAAAGAATGCATCTCCAGAGTGACAGTGTCTACGAAAATGTACCGACCAGTATTAAGCCTCGCCTATCTATCCGGACCACTCGCCCAATCGATATCAACCAGGTTCACTTGACTCAGCCTTCAAACGGAAACTACAATAGAACGGGTCCTATCAATCCAGCCCAAATCGGTACTAGTCACCATAGTCCTCTAACCCGAATACCACCGGTGCACTCGCTCAGTGCAGACCCAGCTCGGCCACGTCTCACGATTGGGTCCATAAGTCTGGTCAGAAGCGAAGAGTCAATCAAAGACTTTAGTCGAATGGCCGGAAAGACAAAAGATCCCAATACCCAAATGGTCTATGCAAGCTATCTCCTTGAAATAGCTGATCTGTACCAAGTTCCTGCTCTCTCAACTTCGATCCGGCATGCCCTCTTAAAAGAAGCGTGCACCTGGATCGAGAGGCTTGCAAAATCCGGAATACCAGAAGCACTCCTTATTCAAGGAAGATGGTATCAACTAGGACATGCAGCACCGGACTGCGTAGGTCGAAAGTACGTCAAGATAAACACAGCCAAAGCGTTAAAGTGTTATCAACAAGCATCCAATGCAGGTCTAAAAGATGCATCCTATGCCCTGGCTGCATATTGGAAGAGTCAAAATGACTGGCTCAAAGCATCTTCCTATTATCAATCTGCATCTCAAAAGGGTCATATATTAGCTAAATATGCAAGTATACTCAATACAACCTTATTCCATTTTTTACATACACACACACGCATATATATATATATAAAGACGTCAAGTCTTGATAATACTTTATCATTATTCTTATTCTTATTGTTTTTTTTAGGAACTTGCTAGGCTGACTTTTGATCATCGAGTTGAAAACTCCAATGATGTAAAAACTGGCTTGAAACTTTTGCTAGAGTCGGCTCGCTCTGAAGTTAAAGACAGTGCGGCCGCTTGTTTTATGTTAAGCTGCATATACGGACGTCACTTTGGTCTTGTTGGACTTACAGAGTAAGTCTATTAGATATATATCAAGCCAAACCAAACCAAACCAAACCAAAAGGAAAAAAAAAGTAACCGTATTAAATTGTATGTACAATAAGAGATCCAGAATTCGGCCCATTCGATCCTACCAACGCCTATTTTTATCTATCAAAAGCAGTCCGTATGGGCCATCTTGACGCTATCCACAAGATGGGAGAGGTTTGGGAACTTGGATTGTGGGACAAGACTAGTGATATCGAAAAGGCCATTGAGTATTATACCCGGGCAGCCCAAGAGAGCCACCCAGGCTCAATGTTTGAACTGGTGAAAATCTATAGCGGACAAATCGACTATCCCAGCCAACCTGAACAAGCTATTCTTTGGTGCCAACGTGCCTCCGACAAAGGATATGCCAAGGCCGACTATTTGTTAGGGTAATTTATTGCTATTGTTATCATTATTAAAAAAATTAATTAATTAATCAAATATAAATATAAATATAAATATAAATATAAATATATTCTTAATCTTCATTAGACTTTACTATGAAGAGGGACTGAATGGATTGGAGATCGACTATCCACGTGCACTGGGATACTTTACCAAGGCTGCCTCAAATGGATACACGGAGGCCCAAGCTCGCCTAAACATTCCTATTAATATGGTACCCGAAAACACACCACATAATAATCAAGGCAGATTTGAAAGGGCTGCAAAGCGATTGAGCAGTGCTCGTATCAATTGTGACCTGATGTAATCATCATAGTATTGTTTTCTTTCTTCTTCTTTTTTCACACATCAGTATTACAGCTATAAATTATAAATTATAAATAGATAATAAATAATAATGAATCCGTGTCTACTTGCATACTTGCAAAGATACTTAAACGCATAAACACACACACACACACACAAATATATATATATAGTACATTTTACTTTTACTTTTACTTTTCTTCTACAATATAAATAATTAAAATAAAAGATAAATAATAATGTTTCATTTTTGTTTCAAAAATAAAAAAGGTTGTAGGCGGAGCAGGTGTAGCCAATCAAAAGCAGTCCTCTTGACGTCGATTTCTTGGCTCCTGTCTTGAGGGTGACACATTCACCCAATGTCCTATTTTAGTACCTGTAGCGTGTTTCTTGTTTTCTTGCGTAGTTGAGCTTGTTGGTTGTGTAGCGTACCATTGTCATTCTGTTGCTCTGGTGAATCGTATGCATCTGCTGTAGGCCTCCAACTCCCCCACCCCCCAATCTCCTCACCTCCTCCCTCACCCCACCCCCCCTTTTTTTCTTTTTTCTTTTTTGCCTTTTGACGTGTCTGCGGTCTTTCTATATCTGTAAATGGATTATATCTACACTCATCCGCAACAACCATCATCAAATTACCCCCTACAGGACCAAACCCATCACTCCACAACTTACCCAGAAACATCGGGATCGAGCATGATGAGCGCCCACACAACTTACTCTTACCAAGAACCACCATCTCCTCAATCCATGACCCAACCTGAGGTTAGCTTTATCCGGTCCGCCGAAGGATTCCCCCGCTCTGCCCTTGACAGAGCTGCTACTGCCAAGCTGCGTTTGGAACATAATTACAAAGCTCAGTTGCAGCAAGCAATTGAGCGAAACCAAAGGTAATTCTGATTGTTACAAACATAATCTTGGTTATTAATCTTCTATATCTATATCTATACTTATCTGGCGCACAGACGCTCTGAAATCGAACAAAGATTGATGAATGAGCAATGTAGCGATGAGAAGAAAAACAGACAACTTCAATCACTAGGAAGAAAAGAATCTCAATTCCTTCGATTGCGCCGCACACGCATGGGTCTTGATGACTTTGTCACTGTCAAAGTGATTGGCAAGGGTGCTTTTGGCGAGGTAAGTAATTGCGATATACTACTACTTGCTATTATTATTATTATTATTATCGTTGTTGTTGTTGTTGTTGTTGTGGCAAAAATATGTATATACATAAGGTGGGTTTATTAAAACGTTGGTTTATAGGTCAGACTTGTACAAGCAGGAGATACCGGAAAAATATATGCCATGAAGACATTAAAAAAATCAGAGATGTTGAAAAAGGATCAGTTGGCTCACGTCAAGGCTGAGCGTGATGTCCTTGCCGAGTCAGACTCTCCATGGGTCGTCCAGCTTTATTTCTCTTTCCAAGACCCCCAGTACCTTTATCTGATCATGGAGTTCTTACCAGGAGGTGATTTGATGACTATGTTGATCAAATACGACACCTTTAGTGAACCTGTCACTCGATTCTACATTGCCGAGATTGTTTTGGCTCTCGAAACAATCCACAAACTCGGATTCATTCACAGGTTGGTTTCCTAAACAAAACCAAACCCCCCACCCCCCCC